AGCCCGGTGAATAACTAGATGAAGATGGTAAAATAACACAGGGACATGTGCCAAATCACAAAACAAAATTGCTAGCAATGCAATTCTTCAAAACTGTTTTCCGAAGATGAAATATTCTAATCTAATATGAAGCGGTGTATTAGATATTTTTATTTACACCAAGCTATACAAACGTCAACTACTCGCTTCTCGTATATCCTTCTGTTTCGACAAAAAATTGAATTCATTGAATTTCCACAATCTTCGTTTGTATTTTCATCTGGATTTAGAAATCCTTCTGAATTACACACTCTTACAAACGCAAACCCAGTCGTAGCATTATTTTGATGGTCAGATCAGAACTACGACCAGTAAAAGCATAACAGTATCAGTAGTCTATATTTTGATAATCTGGATTACGTGAAAAATCTCAACACCAAAAATATAGTAACCCTAATATTGAAAATCGTTATGACTAATCACCTTATCCGATGAGTGATGATTTCCAGCAGCATTCCTCGGTGACGTTGAAATCCTTGCTTATTGTGACTCGACTTCAACTCACTGGGTAACTGATAACACCTGACACAAAAGACTTGGATAGCTCCTCCAAACACAACTGTTCTATTTTATCTAAATTTCGGCAATCACGCACTCATGAAGATCCCAATCCCCTCACGGCGCCCAGGTTACTTGCGAACAAAACGGCAAACGTGGTAAAGTTCTCGGCGAACCCGACAGTTTTACTATTGCGACACAAAGCCTCTTTAGTACGGAGTTGTAAATTGAGGTCCTTTTCAGTTTATTGAGCTTATATTGCAAAAAACAGAACGGACGATCTTCATGTTCTGCCTGGGTATTGTATCAAAATTATCAAACCTACTCTCCAAAAATCGTAAAAACATATACCGAAAAATTAAAAGATTTTTGCATAAATAAAATGTCCACTTTATGTACGAAAATTAAACCCGTTGATTATAAACCAGCAGAACTACTGTCCCATTGAAGTTGGCGAAAATGTGCAATTATTTAAAAAATATTGAAAGAACATATTAATTTTGATACTGTTTTATCAGAGAAAAAGAGATTTCAGCAAAATATCGCAAAACGTTTTAATTATGGAACGTGGAATAATTAAGCGGACAGGAAAATGTCTACCCAATTTCTCCGTCTACATAACTGTCGCTTTTTTAGCACGGTATGTCTACTTAACTACCGTATTAGATATATATATATATATATATACAGCTTTATATATATATATATATATATACGCTAGAAAAGCAGAAAATTTGAAGGTCAACCAAGATCAGAAATAGAATGCTATAACCTAGGTGGAATTGCAAGGAGCGATATCCACAAGTTAACCTATAAAGCGCTACACGAGCTAGGACTTCTAGGTTAAGACACTTTCGAAACAGTTTTGGTAAATATGTCGCATGAGAGTACAAGAGACAATAGAATCTTCATCGAATAAGCTGAAAAATTATTAAAGATAGTTGTAAACCCGTTCACATCAAGAAAATGATGATCTTAGACTAAATAAAAATTGAACATAAAATTCGCTGAAAATGCACTGGGAACAGGATGAAAACAATTGATCATAATTCAGCTATCATTCAAGCACCTATGGTGAAATTATTAGGTGTTGTCTTGTTAATGCATACTGAAAACATTTTTAGCTTACTTCCTCTTGTCAAAACTGGAAGATCTGCAGATTGTGGCATGACAGCCTTTCTGAAACCGTAATTGCATTATAAAGTATGTGAATATACATGTATCGAATGAGTGCTTGGTATCTACCATGATACGTTTTATTAATATAAAATCCAGTAGAGAATACAAGCTATCAATGATGATCACCAAATAATGAAATCCCATTTGAAAAATTTCACGATTTGAATACATATAAAACTAGAAGAAAACATTGGTATATACCAAAAAAATTCTCAGGAAACTCGACTTAAACTGCTACTCACTTCTGTTAACCGTATGTTTCCCTTGTTGGTACTTTTATGAACTGGCAGTAGTTCACAGTCACCTATGGGATCCGCGCAGTACAAATCTTGGAAAACAGATCTGTTGGAAAAATGTAAAAAAAATTTCACCTACATCCAGCACCTTCAAAAGATAAACCATTTTACGCACACCTTTTTCTTGAATCATCCATATGTGTAGTCTCTAAATCAGATATTCGTTTAGAATCTGTTTCAGATACCTTCTTGCATTTCATTCTCGTCTTTTGATAGTCATCTGCTAGTAAATAGCAGTACATTTACCGCACAATATACTTAATAAAAGCGATGTGTCATTTAAAAATGTTTATATTGTTACAAACGAAATATGGTCATTATCACACAGAAATTTATACTTTCAGGAAGTATTTCTGAAATATTTGGGATGGGTTAGTTTTCTTTGACAAAGCGAGTAAATTTTAGACCATACAACAAGCAACCCAAAAAAGCTGAACCAAACTCGTATTGCGAAATAAAATTTTAGATATATATTCGTAATGTCATTGCTGCAGGTCATCATTACTTGCGACCACAGCTAACTTCTCCATGAGATGGCGAGATGAAGTTTTTTTAAATTTTATGTTGATTGTAAAAAAAAAATCATGGTTGCAGACAGTCAGCCATCTAACCAAATTTAATCCGCCTATGAATCAACATGCTCTTGTTAAATATTTAATGATTATCGCAAGTTCAGTCTGGATTTCATGTCCCCTTCTACGAGTAATTGCAGAATTGTGCGCAATCTGTGATTCTGCTATGCAAATTAGAATTTCTATTTCCCTGGATTTGTTAAGGAAATTTTGTCGTGCGAGGGTCAACATACAAATGCAAGTGGCGAAATCCAAGCTACAAATTGAGTAGCAAGCGAGACTCATTTAGTTGTTAGTCGGTCTGGGTTTTGGCATGCACATGGGTAGCCAAGAGATGATTTCTATAATCAGTCAATTTATATTGTTAGAATTTGCAAGCACTGTTTATTCAGCTATTAGTGGCTGTTTGAATTGTCGATTTTTCGCACATTTTAATTTTCCGCGCTAGCGAATCAGGCATGTATATATGTGCCATGAAAACCAGACAGGCATGAATCACGTTTATCAAAGGTCACTTCATAAATAGCCTGGTGAATATGTGAAATGTGTGTAACATGTAATTGCACTGATAGTCCTGGTGATCAAATATAGACTGATAGGTTGTGTGCCCATAGGAACTATTATTTGCCACGCAAGATATAAGATGGGTAACATAAAAGGCTTTTATTAAAAGCTCCACTTACCCAGTCTAGAAATATTTGAATAATCAGCAGATTTGGTCAGATTATGTATACCTATATATTGATCTAACTTAGGGGCTTGCAACTGTTTATCGCAATGGGCCAAAAAAACTTGTTATTTTTGGCAACTCGAAGTCTAGAGCTTGCAAGTGCTCATCGGTATGCTGTTTGCTAAATTTTTTCTTGGACAGCGTCATTTTAATGAACTTCTTCAGCAGTATGTGATGCCGGAAGAAAGATTATTTTTATGCGTGATTTTCCAGATTTGTGTAAATGTCCATACACATAAAATATGCAAACCATTCCCATTGCAGGTGGGTATGGAATCCATGATTGATAGTAATTTTGATGTTTTTCCACAGATCATCCATTTGGCGAGCCACCGCTTTGCAAAATATTTCAATATTTATTTATCTTTTCTTCCTGGGTGAGAGAAAGGCCGATACGATGGCTTAGTCATATGGGGAACCACGGCACGAAAGATACATATGGATCGCTTGTTAGCCTATTATATTGTTGACTTTGTTGTTAATATTCTTCTCATTCTTCTTGCGAAAAAATCACTAAAATTACTGGACCAATTGCTTCAATTTTCAGTAGTTGAAGATTATATTTTTCTCTAAAAGGTTTAAATTGTTGTTCATTTTAAAACTTTCTGTGGGTTACATGGGGTTCGTTTTTTTGTGTGTGATGGCGTCATTAAATTTAAAAATTCCTGACTCGCGAAGTTGGTCTTTAATGCCAGCCGTGGCACGGTACCGATAGACCAATGTGGCAGATTGAATACCTTTTTTTACCAAATGAGGACACGTGCCAATTTTTTTAAAATAATCTTGTCGCGTGCCACGCACAATCGTTGATATGGACCTTCCCCCGACCTCCGACCCCCGTAAAATGTATCCTTGGCTTGATTTCAATTTATGTCGGTTTATTTATCTGCATATGCATACTCCTGCATCAGTTTTACATCGAGATCTCGTGTAAACGAATATGGTGATTCTTTGCCAAAATATATCATATGCAATTCAAACAAATAAAAAAGAAAACTGATAAAGTTGTTTGGCGCGGCGGTGTGGCTCAACGGGCTAAGCGTTAGGTTACGCTCGCCACCGCACCTCTAATTACTCTGCGTGGATTCGCAGGTTCGAATCCCATGCAGGGATGGTTATGTGCGAGAGGATTGCTGGACTCCTCGCCGTCTTTGGGTGGTTCACGTAACCGCTGGTCGGTTACGGCTTCCTCCACCACCAAGTCCATGCATTCGCAAACAAACAATATAACTAATCCCATACCCGACTTGGAATGGTAACCGGACGAGAGGCCGTGGTTCGCCATATGGATAAGCCGTCTTATCGGCTTCCCTCTCCCCCGGGATAAATATGTAAATCCTAAGTGACATGACCATACTGTGAACCATTAGTTAGAATGACTTTTAATGACTTATAAATCCCTGAAGGCTGTGGCTGGGCGTGTACACATAAGGCTGTTGGTGTGGCCACTGCCAACCTGGGTCACTAGAATCTGTCTGCGTAGCAGAGGGATAATAAGCTGAACTAAGACATAATGTGAAAGCAATGAATGAATAAAAATTATACACTTAAAAATGATTGATGAAATTACAGCAGACATATAAATACTAAAAATTATGGATTGACCACCATGTCAAAAACTAGAACAGGCATAATAATTCTGATGATTGTGCCTTTGTTTTAAAAGGTAGAGCAGTGGCAGTTGATGTGAAACTGTGTAAGCGGTACGTGGTGTTGGATTTTATTAAAAATAATGGTTTTGAGCATGGTTATTATTTCGTAAGGGTCAACTGTCCAAAATACTCGCAAAATGAGCATTCAAAATTTTGCAATGGTAAAGTATGAAAAGAATTTTTCCGAGGTCAAGGGTCTGGGAAACTTCATTACATTGATAGGCTAGTTCTCCGTTGGAGTGTTTGGCGATACCGGTACCGTGCGACAAAAGAATGTCGCGAGGATCAAGCATTGATCGGAATCAATATACAGGAGTTGATTCGGACTTCCTTAGTTTATCAAGAATGGAAGGGAATGTACCACAACAGAATGTGGGTTCCAGAATTAGAGGTATGGTTCAATTGAAAGAAATAAGTCACAAAATTTATTTACATATTTTAAAATCTCGCAAATACAAATAGTCCAGTTTGGCACACCAGTACCGGTATCAAAAATATATATTGCATGTGGTGTAACATGTTCTCTTCCACATTGTCTAATGTCGCTGAAGATTATAAACAGTTGCTGTTTAATTACAAACAAAATTTTCAGACTTCATGCCATTAAATTTAAAAACAAACTTTTATTACTCCCAAAGTCTGTGTTACCGTACATGCTGTGCTAACGAGGCATTTTTTGTTGGAAAGTTACCGTACAGTAGCTGATTAGCTTCACTCATAGACAACCCATTTTATTAAAGCACAATGTCACCATGCACAAACAGTACGTTGTGCTGTGCTGTAAATTTTTGCGATGGTACAGTAGGAGCCCATAATATTTTCTGGTGCAGTAGCTGAACTACCCCTCTATGTGTTGCTCAAGTTACTTAATGTAACACTGTAAATCCATGCCAATAATGTGCATATTGTATGTGACACTACAGGACATTTTTCCACTTCGGAATAGCGGCATCTATCATCTCTTATAATTCTGGTAATAAATCGTTAAATGGGTGAAGAAATGTTCTACAGCACTGCAAACATTCAAACTTTATTAACTTAAATCCAGTGCGTCAATTCCATATGAAATAACTGTACCACACAATCAAACACTTTGTGTCAGAAATCATCACAAAATATGTCAATTATACCAAAATTTCTACATTTCAGGCCATTTTTTATAAACCATCAAAAACCTGGGTGAAATTTTAAATTGTTCGATGAAATGAATGCAGTCCAATAAAATTCCGGTCTTACTACTTACTGAATACAGCGCGAAACACCGCAAAGAGCGCAAAATAGCGCGAAACAGAGGGAAACAGCGTGAAAGAGCGCAAAACAGAGGGAAACAGTGTGAAGCGGAAAAATTTTTTGCAATGAGTTCGGGGCACCTTATTTTGAGTTGGAGTACCACCGCAGCAAATTAAAAACACAAACCAACGTATGTAGCCAGTAATGCTGTAATGGCAGGTCTGCCCCTGCTGGTGACACATTTTGGGTACCATAATTTAGAACATTTTCCATATGGATATGGTTGGCTTTAGGGTTAGGGTTAGGTAAAAAGGGACCTCCAGAAGTATGTGCACCAAGGTGGCGCACAACCTGAAAATAGTATGTGTGTGTGTGTGTGTAGCGGATTCAGGTTGTGCGACATATTGCTGCACAAACTTCTGGAGCACCAAAAAGGTAGATAAAATTTCGCATGATGACCTATAATCCGGTACATAACCTTGTAAATATACCGGAAATAGCGCCATAAAACCATGGCGAGAGGCGCCGTGGTTCTTTCGTGGCAGGAGGTGGTAATGACTGCGTCTCCTGTTTTGCGCTGTTTCCCTCTGTTTTGTGCTGGTTTCCTTCTGTTTCGCGCTGTTTTTCTCTGTTTAGCGCTCTTTGCAGTGTTTCGCGCTGTATTCAGTAAGTAGTAAGACCCATAAAATTGCAATGGATTTTGATATCAAAAATTATAAAAATTTCTTTCACTACACTTTTTAAAAAATTGATGGAATTCAACTTTTGCTTGGAATGGCCCATATAAGGGTTAAATGGAAATTAATTTGGTTAAATATTTATTTAGATGAAGCCCCAAACAACTATGCTCGCATGACTTTGGATGGAAGAAAACGACCAAAACCTGGAAATAATGGAATTGAACCAAATATCAGAGATGGAGATCAACATTGGCATGATTGGACTTGTACTTGGCGAAAAGTGGGAGCTAAGGGACACAGTCAACCTGTAACAATGACAGGCACAATAACAAGAGGTGAATAGAGTAATAACTAGCCTATCCCTATACATTATAATTTTCCAGAAAAAACAAAGTGCCTGAAATTTAGAAAAGGAAAATTCATGTACTTTTGTGTTGTTGAAATGACATGATCACAACAATAATCAGCCAGAATGAACATTACAGATGGTGGATTTTGTTGTATACATTATATTTACCGGTATTGATCAAAAACGAAGAAAACCATTCAAAGCAGGCATTTCCACATAGAAATTTGCTGTCATGGTCAAGAATAATATAATTCCAACATCATATAATTCAATTTACATCATCCATGTTTTGCACCTATGTGAGACGTCCATTAACTAGCTACCAGTACATTTTCAATTAACATTTCTGATTGTCTTTAATCTTGACCTTTATAGTCTGACAGTTTTTTCACATTTGATGACTTGGGGAAATTTTCGTTCTTTTTGTTTTTGACAATATCACCAGGTCTTGTAGGAAATATTCTTATTTTTCATTCTAATTTTGTGTTCCCAAAATAGTCTTTGATCCTATTTCGGAACTGCCATTGGTTGATTCTTGGAGTGAGAAATTAGGTCATACTCATATACATCATAAAATGTGTTTTATTCATTCAAATGTTCCAACCATGAGTAGCCCATAATGTGACAGTGAATAGGCGTCCCAGTTATCAGTCATGTAACAGTACAAATCCTTGAAAGATTCAATGGATCTTGGAACAATTTTGCGATTAATATGATTTTCATTTTATCTTGAAGGTAAAAAGAAAGGACAAGTAGTAGATGTCAGGCTAGATTTAACAGAACGAGAACTTCTGGAAATCTCATCAGCTCATGAACAGTCACATAATTCTGTTCCTGATTCACCTGATTCAATGCCTTCATCACTGCCTGAGCGTAAAGACTCTGACTGTGGTTGTGGATTACAAGAAGGTTAGTCTGTTTGAGTCAAGGTGCTATGAGGTGAAGTTGTGGCCTAATTCGGTAAATAGTCAAAAGTGAAGATTATTACTTATCGATTTTAATCGGTAAGTATGTTGATAGGTATTTGTCTGTCAGTCTGTAAGATGCACGCGATATCTCACGAAGGCGTGGTTGAATCTGCTCCAAATTTTGCATGTGCATTCATCATATCTCGGACCAGTAGCCTATTGATTTTGGATGAATTATGTCGTATAATTAGCGAGTCATTGATTAATTAGTGATGAAGAGATCTGGATTTTCACAAAGCGAGAGATTTTCGAGACGCGCTGAATGTGTGTGTGCGTGTCCGATGCGCAAGTTTTCACGCTAGTGAGTCAGAGCGAAGGATACACACCGCTAGATCGTATCTCGTGATTAATCTTTAAGCATTGTCCATATCTCTCATGTAACTTTGACGTCGTCGCGATGCGCAAGTTTCCTTCGAGAAATTTTCCACGCTATTGAGTCAGAGTGAAGGATACACGCCGCGAGATCGTATCTCGTTACTTATAATTACTCTCTAAAGTTTAAGCAATGTCCATATCCCTCTATCAGGTTCGGGGTTGCAGATTTCTCACCAAAATATCGCTAGGCTGTGTTTGAATAGCCGTCGCAACCCGGGTTAGCGCCGTTGTATTTGACACAAAATATAGGATTGGTAAATAGGCTATTGGCTGGAAACTATTCGAAACAATCCAGTTCAGATAAATTTTGCAGAATTCTTCATAAAAGTATTTCCTCGAGTAGTATTTCGACGACGACATGGGGAGTTGGCTATTGTTTCCTACATTTTTGATATTGGCTGAAAACTATTCAAAACAATCCAGTTCGGGTTTGCAGAATTTTTCGAATCGAAACTGCAGTTTCTGTTTTGGGGGATCCCCTAACTTTCGATCGATAAGTCTTCGATCTCTGACCTTTATTCTCGTTCACTTTGTTATTGTTCACTGGCCACAAACACAAGTATTTTTTTGCCTCACTAAATAGCAAATTGTATAAAGGTATGAGATATACACAGGTTATAGGTACATAAATCTGACATACTAATTTGTGTTGTTAAATCCGCGAGGTTGCTTTCATCTCGTTTTTTTTTACAAGTATTCTGATGAAATAATTTTATAAAACACATATTATTAAATCTGTAATTAAAAATTTAATTTTTTTAATTTAATCATGATTATATTTCATTAATTCTTGGCTATTTATATTTCAGGTCCTCACATTATATTGCTTTCAATATTGGCTTTCCCCTTTATACTTATAGCTTCTATGTTCGCTTCATTTTATTTTGGTGCTCTCACATGGCAAAATATTTTCAATCATTTCTATGACGAAAGGACAATATGGCATAGAATATTTATATGTCCTCTGCTTGTAATTGCTTTTCCTCTTATAATCGTCTTCTTAACACTGGGGATTTCCATATATGCTGCATTTGTTCAATTAAGGTAAGCATTACGTACTTTGCTTTCTAAATAGTGAAAATAATAAAGTGAACAGGATTAGTTGTATACCCCTTTTAAAAGAGGTAAAAGGTTTTTCCAACTCGATACAAATTCAATATAGTTTTGATTTTGAATATCATTTTGTAAGAGTATTTTTTAAACTAATTGGTAGCTGCTAACTTATCATATGACCCGCTCAAAATAAGATGCATTATTATTCCACATAGATTAGATACCAACTTGCTTTGTACTTTTTTATGACTTGATATAAGCTAAACAAATCAGATGAATGGATATATATATATATATATTATATATATATAGTACATTACATTGGATTTTCTAATTTTCAATTATGTTTTGCCTCAGGGGAATTGTACTCAAATTACACCCTTAACTTTTATCATTTAGCTCTCAAAAGCCATTAATCAGACAATCTCTTAACAAGCTTACATTAGAATTCATAATAAAGATCTGCAATAACTTGTATTCGACTCACTTTTAATAAACATTGATAATTCAGATGGTCATTTACAAATTGGAAGGATGAGGTTGGGAGTCTGGAGAAAGGATTTTGTGGGTGGTTGTGTGGGATATTAAACCTCGAAGACTGTTCGCCTTACACTGTTGTCGAACTGTTTGACACTTCTGACACAGAAAATGGACAGAGACAAAGCCAGCATCAGGGTAGGTGTGCGACTCTAAACACCGAACAAAATAGCGAAACATTTTTACCTTCTCGAGGATCAATCACTGCCTCTCGAGACAGGAACTCCTTGCCTACAGCTGGAGGCTCAGCATCGCATAGAATGGAAAGCGCATTGTAGCACAGATGTTTCTTATTTCATCGCTTTGTATATGCGTCCATTCGGATCTTGATAGCATAGTTTGGAAAACACACCAAGACTAGAGTTTGAAACTCGTTGGTGTGTTTGAATCAACTTATACTATAGATTTATATTCATATATATTATGCCAGCGGCTTTTTTAACAATCATGGAATTTTTCAATGTTATACATGCCTTCAATACAATATAGCACGTTTTTGTACTGATACACCCTTTTAATGTCACTCATTAGTTTGGTGCACCACCCCCATCCTACATTAGTCCATAAAAACAAATTAATTACTGTGCCATCAGTATTCTTTTCACTTAATTGAGTACTAGACTTTATGAAAAAAAAAATATGATTTCTCATTTATGTTCTTTTAGATTGTGCCCTATCAAGTGTATTTCACCAAATGAAATTTTTTTCTACTTCAATTTTTAATTATGTGCCATATTCTAAGTATTTTCTACATTCCGGTACTTGTTTCTACACAACAAACTGTTGGCTTTTCTGGTATTCTTATGTTCACTGCTTTTTTAATATATCTGATTGTTGCTTTTAAGCTGTGCGTGTGAAGGTGAATATGTAGATAGCTGAAAGAAAACGAATATTAAGTAAGCGTCGATGGAGAGCGACCAATTTAACTATGTATCACAGGTGGAAATGAGTTCCTGCATGCGCGGTACTATACCAAGATGGCACACAACCTGAACTCAGGTTGTGTACCAGGTTAGGGTTCAGGATATGCGCCATCTTGGTGCGCATACTTCAAGAGTACCCAAAATTGTCTTCAAAATTGAAAATTTCCTACCTTGGTAGTGGTTTGGCGTGCTCGATCGTTGCGATCTAGTGGTCACTGGTCAGTCCAAGTCGGCAAGAAAACGGTTTCGTACCGGTACAGTAAAGATTAGATACTCGAGCTACTTCGTTTTGGCTTTCGTGTCCACTCATTTAGGCAATGCTCATTTTTACTTCTAAATCGCTGTACCAATAAGACTGTTTTCGATAGTTGATTCAACGTTTTTATAACTTGTGGTATCTCCGTCATTGATGGGTACAATCTATCGTGCTCTGCAGTGGAATAAAGTAATTTTGTGCATGTGATCAGCGATTGCAACATTAAAGTCTATATTAAAAATATTTCATGGAATGCATTGAGACTTTTCATGAACACAGGCCCATTTCAATGCCATTCAACAAATATCTATTTGAATCCTATTTTCCAGACAGCAGGAAGTTAGATAGGTTGTAGTTGATACTGCATTGAACAAAATGGTAATCGAACGGGCCCGGGGTGGCCCGAAGGGACATTCGATCGATGTGGAGAAGCTAAGATTTGGGCATTGCAAAAGCTTTAATAAAGTTTGGCACAATGATCTCCCATGAATTATAACGTCTGTGACTCAAACACGCCAATGAAAAATCACTTGCCCGTGCCGTGAGTGCGTGCTTTACTTGTATAAATAACTAATACGTCCTTTCATAGACTATGACTGTCATATTCGAGTGATCCTTCTTTCGCCTTGCAAAGATTGTAAGACGGAATTTAAGGGAATTAAAAAGAATTAAATTGTCTCACTATTGGTCTAAACTTCAAACTCTTTTCACGTCGACAAAAAGATGCCCCCCGTCCTAATTTTTCAAATATTCTAACCGACTGCGCTGCACAATATGTGGGCTAATACATATTATGAATGTGTTTCATGCATAACCAATTTTTTTCTATTTATTCTCTGCCTCAAACATCCCAGATATTTCGGGTTATGTTTTCTAAATTGTTGCTAACTCTCCGAACATCTGCTCTATTATGCAACTATTGCACTATAACCCCCAAACTTCTCATGTATAAAAACCGACAACTTTTATTCGTAATACAGTGTTGTTTCGTTGTGTATTCTGCTCTATTCGGCGTCAAATCGAGTGATTCAATTCTTTCACGTTTGGAAATTAAGCAATAGATACTCTTTAAGCCTTACAATATGGAAAACGCATGCCCGCATAGATGGCCAGTTACGAAAATTACTGGCTAATAACACGAGGCAGTTTCAGAAATAGGCTTTATCTTAGTTGAAATGGTTGATAATACAATAATACGAAAGCATTCAAGAGAAGTATAATATCCAAGATAAGGTTTCGTGACCACTTATGTATGTGAAAAACGAGAAGTCCTACGACTGTGGCTTCTTGCAAAAATACCACGCTACAAATTTGGTTTTAATTCAGTGTGTTGAAAAAACATTTCATGTCTTTCTACATTTCTATAAAAAATCTCGGGATACTGAATAGACCTTTTTTCTACCAGCGCCCCCTCGGACAACTTTTTTACTAGCATACGCCCCTGACAAAAAAGCAACTTTATTCTCTATTTATCATTAGTATAATATGGAGATTGAGCCTAGTGAAATACCACCAGCTTGATAATATCTGTTTTCATTTCAGTCAAAAACAGTTTTGAGTCTTGTCTGACACTGTCGAGAGAATCTCTCTTGTTATGTAAAATTGCGGCCACTGCACTAAATACACGCTCTACCAAGAATGAGCTGGCAAAAGCGATAAAAAAAACTTTTGACCCGGTCTCACACGTTGTCGTGTCCCTTATTATATTGGAGGCAAATAGACACGTTGTTCGTATGAATGGAATAGTCTTTAATCTTAGCAGCAAAACAGTACCATCACGTAAACAACAGCCAACTCGAATCCCATTATTACGCGTCTGCGTCGAGTAGGCCCAGACGCTATTATTACGTCACAATACTAACATACACAACACCCCCCTTACTGGAAAGATATGTTACTAAACATAGATAGATAGATAGATAGATAGTCTATTTCGAAAACTCCATAACAAACCTAAATTTAAAATGGAGAATTCTGGAGGGCAAGCAAAACCTGCAAAAAAGTTTAAAACATGAAGTATCTCATGTGCCTGCCCACCAGCACGCACACAAAAACACAAGCCCAATTAAATGAAGCTTGGGCCAAACTTAAAAAACAAAATACACGATAGTAATAAACTTTCGGGCTGTTGTACTCTCTTTCAACAATTACGTTGACATTATCAAAAAGTGAACATAAAACAATTTGAAGAAACTTGCACAATAACGATGTTATCACAATATGACCGCCTTCATAATTATTTACAAATTTAGTTTTTCTGGCGGTCTGGAAATTCGTCCAGATCTTGTAATGTTCACTTTCTCCGTATTTTCTTGAACAGGCTCGTTCGGTTCAACCTGTACATCCGTTTTGATGGAAGATTTTGTTTCTTCGTCCGAAGTTGGTCTTTCTGGAACTTTCTTGAGATGTCGACGATTACGTCTCAACGTACCACTCGGTGTTAGGATCATAAATGAACGTAGTGTATCAGCATACCCAGTTATAACACCTTGCTCTTTTTGAAGACCATCTTTAATCCATGCATGATCACCAATCTGCAATTTTTCCATATTTTGAGCTCTGTGCCTTTTATCAAAATGCATCTTTTGTTTCATTTTATCGCCCAACTCTTTATTTTGCAATTCATCCATGTTAGGCCATTTTGGAATCAATTCACTTGAATAAACTGGTAACTTCGTTCTCAACTTTCTTCCCATGAGAAGTTCACTTGGAGAATAACCATTTTTCAAAGCTGTACTTCTATAATTCAGCAATGCCCTGCACGCTCCGCCTCTCCGTTACATTGAGCATAGCAAGGACTTGACGTTATATGACAAATCCATATTCTTCTGCAAATTTGGAAAATTCTCCCGAAGCGTATTGTGGTCCATTGTCAGATATTAATCACTTCAGGTATTCCATACTTTGCGAAAATTGACTTTAGATGATTGATTACTGTAAGCGACGTCGTATCCTGTAACAATGCAATCTCGATCCATCTGGAGAAATAATCAACAGCTAACAAATATTTTGAACCTTTCAACTCAAATAAATCCATTGCAATCTTTTTCCATGGTCTATTCTATCAGGATATTCACTCGGAATTAATGGTTGAGTTTTGGTGTGTGAAAATTCACAACAAGAAGGACAGCTCTTACAAACTTCTTCCACTTGCTTGTTCATGTAAGGCCACCACACTGAAGATCTTGCTCGACGTCGGCATTTTACGATCCCCATATGTCCTTCATGTATTTTCTCCAAAATATCAAGTCGCAACGATGCTGGAATTACTAATCTGGTTCCGCGTAGCAACAATCCGTCAATTACAGTAAGATCACCGCGTACTTGGTAGTACGGCAACAATACGTCATTAAGCCTGGATTCATCCGGCCATCCGTGCATACAAAAAGTCATTATTTCTTTACAGACAATGTCCTCATTTAAATGTACACGAATTTGCTGCAAGCGCTTTTCTGATGCTGGGAACCCATCAATAACAGAACGAACATAAATATCGCTGTCTTCATTCAGCTGAATATCTTCTTCTCGCATGTCGTCTAGTGGTGCACGAGACAAAGTGTCTGCTATTATCAAGTGCTTTCCTGGGATGTGAAAAATATCGAAGGAAAACCGCATCAATCTCATCCTAAATCTTTAGATTCGCGGAGGCAACTCATCTAGGCTTTTCGTGCCGAATAAAGCAACTAGTGGTTTGTGGTCTGTGTTTATCATGAAAAGCGTTCCTACGAGAAAGTCTTGAAAACGCTCACACGCCCACGTAACTGCTAATGCCTCTTTTTCTACTTGCGCATATTTCTGCTCTGTGGTGTTCATAGCGCGCGAAGCAAACGCCACTGGTTTCCATTGTCCTTCTTCTGTTTCAGGGTGGCTCCTAAGCCGTAAGAACTTGCGTCTGCTGATACAATAGTTGCACTATTCGGGTTGTATAGCGACAAAACTTTCTTAGACAAGCATTCTTGCTTCACCCTCTGAAACGAATCAATTTGAGGTTGTTCCCATATCCATGAATTTTTTTTACTTAATAGGTCACGCAATGGTTTCGATATGTCAGCGAGGTTTCTAGAGAATCTTCCCAATTGATTCACCATTCCCAGAAAAGATCTCAGTTCGGAAACATTTGTGGGAGCTGGCATTTTGGAAATAGCCATGACCTTTTGAGGGTCAGGGTGAACACCTTCTGAATCTATCATAAAACCAAGGAACTTTAATTTTCGGCGGGAAAACTGACATTTGTCGTTTAACGTAAGACCTGCTTTTGCTATCTTCTTCAAAACAGCGTCAAGTCTTTTGTCATGTTCCTCTTGGTTTCGTCCGTGAACCAAGACATCGTCCATTGAACATACTACGCCGTCAAGACCTATTAAAATATCGCACATCCTTCGCTGGAAGTGTTCAGGGGCACTAGAGATTCCAAACGGAATCTTTCATAACAAAAACATCCAATAGGAGTCATAAATGTGGTCAATAAACGTGACTCTTTTGCAAGCTTGACTTGCCAAAATCCCGATTTTGCATCGAGTTTACTGAACACTTTCGAACCACTTAATTGTCCCAAAATTTGTTCGGATGCTGGTAACGGATGTTTTTCACGCTTGACTGCTTTATTTAGATGCGTCAAATCTGTACAAATGCGAACGCTACCATCCGGTTTTGGTACAACCACCATCCCTGCACACCAATCTGTAGGCTCGTTTACGCGGGAAATCACTCCGTCTTGTTCCATTTTCAACAGTAACTTTTGACAAAAGGGGTAACTGTACACGTCTTGGTACGTTTATTGCGAATGGAACAGCATTTTCGTGCAATTCAATTTTATATTCGCCCTCAAGTTGTCCTAATCTGGAGAATAGCTTTGGATATTTCTTTTTGTATTTTTGATCCTCAGACGTGACGTCACCAACAAAATAAACAATGGCAAGAGATTCGATCGCAGGTCGACCTAATAACGGATATTTCAAATGCTTGCTAACATATATCTGTTCATCGCATGAACGATAAATCTGGAGAATCGACATCCCTAACGACGTGATCAACATGTGTGGCTCCATGGCACCATCTAGCGTAATGTCCAATTTTAGAACATTTGAAACATTTCACATTTTTCGCCGGACATTTTTCTCGACTGTGTTTGTCTGATTTACCACACCTGCCGCATCGATAATTATTGCTTTGTGACTTTTGCAAGCCGTGTTTGTGCTTACCAAATTTCCTGTGAGATTTCACGGAATCAACAAAATCAGAACTTTTGGGAAGAATATCACCTTGTCGCAACATTGATTGCTGACGTTTTACTTGTTCGCTTTGCCGAACTTGTTTAATCGCCTTTTCTAGTGTCAAATCAGGGTCTAACTGTAGCCTTTCCGACAATTTTGCGTCTCGAATTCCTACTACGATTCGGTCACGAATTAAGTCATCGTGCAAATCCCCAAACTGCAAATATTTCGCCATACTGTGGACTGCGGTAATAAATGAATCGACCGACTCATTTTCTCCCTGACAACGAAGGTTGAACTGCGCACGCTCGAAAATTATGTTTCGTCAAATTACAAAATGATTTTGAAACTTGTTTATAACAGTCTCATAACTTTTCAGCTCATCGTCGCTCAGTTTACAAGAAGATAATATATCCTCGGCTTTCGCGCCCGTCGAATAAATAAGCATGTTCGCCTGGGATTCAGGGTCTTTTTTATTCAACTCGGAAGCAATTCCGTACCGGTCGAAACGTTTAATCCATTGCTGCCATCCTTCCGGCTTGGAAAAATCCAATGGCTCTGGCGGCGCAACTTGAATCGACGCCATGACACTTTTCCGCAAATGCTTTGAAGCTTCTTTTGACTGGTAGTTTTTGCAGCGTTAACACCGTTTTCAATTTGACTTATTCACAATCCAGATCCTACTTCTGACACCATGTCATGTCCCTTATTATATTGGAGGCAAATAGACACGTTGTTCGTATGAATGGAATAGTCTTTAATCTTAGCAGCAAAACAGTACCATCACGTAAAAAACAGCCAACTCGAATCCCATTATTACGCGTCTGCGTCGAGTAGACCCAGACGCTATTATTACGTCACAATACTAACATAAACAACACACGTGAAGATATTTCAATTTGATTCTGTTGCCAAAGAGATTGAACACTGAAAGACTGAACATGGGTTTGAAAATATAAACCCAATGGTAGTGGTGTATTTTTGCTTCTCGAAATTCAGAGTTATCTATAGAACGGAAACCAAAAATTTCCTAATTATCTCCGAAAAAATTATTAATGTTATTTGTGCTTGAACTTCTGTTTGCGTATAATTATTCTAAGAAGTTTCGCAAAATTTTTAACCACTCACCTAATTTTCTGCTGAAGTGCACCTTCTGCTGTCAGGACATGAAAATGAAAGATTTGAAACGGTGAATACAGAACATTACGTGGTTGTGCCGAGAAAAATCTGGACATGACTTGAGGGATCGATAGAGGTGACCAGCAGTAGTTCCAGCATGACGAGGCAACCCCCCCATACATCAAATCAGACGCTTGCTTTTCCGAGAGAAAAGTCAGCAATGACACCCAGTGGGCACCTTATATATCGGACAGATTTTGATATGTAGGATGTTCGAAGGTCAATTTTGTATCAGGACAGTTCTCAAACGATTGTTGAACTTGAAGCTACAATTGCAGAAATAACAAGAGAGCAATGCTCAAATATATGGACACGAAAACTATTAGCAATACTTGCATTACGCTGTTAAACCGGCAAATATGTTTTGCATTGATGAAACCGCGACCACCATATTTCATAACATGTTGAACACTATTGGAAAGATTGTAATGCTTCTTTATTAGCATATTGATGTTGTTTACCGCAGAACTGTAATGAAAAAAGGCTAAAAGATGAGCATAAACATTGCAGCTGTGCAAGCGTACAAAAAAATGGAATAAGTTAATTTGACTGCAAATGCAGTAAGAGTAAACATGTAAATAAACTTGATATGATTTGGCACATACCTACGTCATTGACTCATTAAAATAGTGGAGGACATTATAAACTTGTGCAGATGCTGACATATGATCAGATTACCCACAGAAAAATTCATCTGTCATAAGTGTCTTTGAAATAAATCCAGCGATACTTACATCAGTCAGTTTTTGATGTTACACTATAAATTTAAATGAACTCAATCATTCAAAACCGGACTCACAAAAACAGCATGTTTTATGAAGTTGTTCATTGGTAAGGACCATCGGTGTTATAACTCAAAGTTTAATATAAGACTGAAGACATTGTATTCAAACCATGAAAAATATCAGACATTGACAATGCTAGTACATTCTCCACTCCCACTTATTAGAATATGTCAATAATAGCTCTCACACATATAGCATGAAAAATATTGCACTTGACGAGCTAAATGATCAACTCTGCAAATTGCAATAAATGAAAAAAGAAGGCAATGTAGCCTACCTACTATATGAATAATTAACACATTTAAGAGAATTGCATTTGTGACATATTTCTTCTTGATGATTTAAAATGTCCTCGGAATTTTCTCCCTGATTGAAATTGAAAATGTTAAATGTCATTGCACTGAGGATACGAGAATATTCACCACAGCAACACCGTTCAAAAATGGATGCTGAGAAAAGGCACATAGAACGGAGGGTATTAGCAACTTCATTATGGTACCTAATTTGGTCATCTGTAATCTTAGATAAAATCATGCTCAGAAATTCAGCAGCATCAAACATTTCAAATGACCTAGCATGGAAATCGTGAGCAAACAGAGAAAATTCATATGCTGAAATACGTCTTGTTGCTTTAGCTGGTGAATATAGCATTCTGCGTCTTAGAGATATCAGCTTGCAGAAATTACATACTTGTGTTATTGAGCACAAGCGAAAATCATGTTGTACATGAAGTGGAAGCCGAACCAATATTTGTAACACACTGTTAACCCAGCAAATATTCTTTGTATTGGAAAGACCTCGGCCACCATATTTCAGAACATGTTGAACACTATTGGAAAGGTTATAATGCTTCTTTCTTGGCATATTTATGTTGTTTACAGCAGAACTGTAACAAAAAAGCAAAAAGATGAGCATGAACAGGGCATATTTGCAGGCATACAAGTGAAACAGAATAAGTTTATGTGCAGATGCAGGTATGGTAGTAGTAAACATGTAAATGGAATGAACTTGATATGCTGCGTCACTTAGACTTACTTACCTGTGTATCTCGTTGAAAATTATTGGAGAAGTTGTAATGCTTTTTCCTTAGCCTATCTGTTGTTTCCAGCAAAACTGTAAGAAAGAAGAGAAAAGATAAAATAGCGAAAATATGAAATATATTTCACTATTAGACATTTGATATGCTGGCCACTTAAACTAATCAAATCCATGCTTCCAAAAACAAATAACTAACTAATCCCATACAGCCATACCAGACTTGGAATGGTACCTTACCGGTAACCAGACAAGAGGCTGTGGTTCGCAATATGGTTAAGCCGTTCTATAGGCTTTCCTCTTCATCGGGATAATTATGTAAATCTTATCCTTTTTGTAAAGTCTCCTCCTCTGCATATTTCTGTATTTACTGATTTATGTACGCTAACCTGCTGCACATGTTGAAATTTTTGTGAAGTTTCTTCCTCTGCATACGGTACCATACGTATTTATGCAAATGTTGTTTCCAAAAAAATGTAACGAAACAGCGAAAAATTAGAAAGACATAGCAGTTGTGCAGACATGCTGGCTCATTACAAAAACTTAATTTCAATGCAGGCACACACTCTAAACAAATATAATTAATGCAACTAGTACAGTAATACTGTACTAGTCTACCCATATCGTACCTGTACAGCTGTACCGGTACGTACCGTAACGGACTTCGGTATCGGTAAGACGGTACGTAAACCTGTAAACGGTACCGGTACGTGCCGTACAGGCCACAGGGACTGTCATAGCTTTCCCAGCTATCGTACCGGTACCGGTATCACTTTCGCTTAACACGGGAACCACAGTCTACAAATACTGAAATATATGGAAAGTGAACATTGATTGATTGATTGAACACCGAGCGAAACAGTACCGGTAGTTTGACCTATCCTCAAAAACCTTTCGAGTTTATTGAGAAATAATTTGAAATACCAACTGATAACAGTAAATACCGCAGTCAACAAATATATGGTCACCAAGCGAAGCTGTAGTAATAGTCAACTAGCTAAGAAGTTATCGCAAACCGTTGCATTGCTGCATTGCGGGTACCGGTAACCCCAAACATCTCGATTCCCCATAAACAACTCTTAGCGGAGCAAGAATTACGATCGCTTCTCAGTTGATATGCCTTCGCGCAATCGCCACAAGGTGTCACTATTTTTATTCTGATCACTTCTTTGAACCAATGACATCAAACAACATGATGCGCAACTCCGGCATTTTTGGCCGAAGATCGTATTCGATAGCACGCTCCAATGCACATACTTGACGAGACGAAAACGAGCGGATGTGTGTTGCTTTCAAGGCATAGCACGAATGGTGTTCGAGCCTGCTTCGACAATTGTTGTGGTTTCTAATGATATGTGGAAAATTGAAGGTAAAAATAAATCGGAAAAAAGTAAGGTAAATACTATTGTTGTATATCACACCCGGGCATCGCACTGTTAAGTACATGCGGGAAAGCCAGCTTTTGTCAAATACCACGAAGTTATTAATTCAGTACGGTACGTAGTTGCCCATTTGCCGAAATTGCATATTTACTTACCCCTTATGGTTTCAAATAGTTCGTGCACCTCCATTTAGATTTTTTTAATCAGTGAGGATATATACTTATTGCTGTAACATACTATTGCTCATTCACTTTTATTTGCGTATTGGATCAACGGGTTAACAAGTTCACCTAAAATTTCACTCATACCGGTCTATATTGTATAGTCTGATCTCTCAGGTATTTGGAGCCACGAATGCCTATAATTTTCTGAATAAACCCCTTTATTAGTGGATTTATATACCAAATTCAGTAAAACATTTTTTACAAAAAACATAAGATATTGGATTTATTAGCTTTTCCATTCTGAATCATATAGACTGCTTTATTTATTCTTAACGAAAATTAATACATCTCCTCTCCTACAGATGTGAAAGTTGTGGACAGACCTGTCTAAGCATTGTGAGACTCCTGCAGCACAAGAGGCAATAGCAATAATAGTGAGTATATCAATCACGAAATTAGGCCGACATAAAACAAAACTTTCAACTATTCGTCTAACCTCAATTTCCTATTATTTATTCACAGGACAACTGTAGCTGAAGGGGCGATATCAGAAGTCTGGCGACATATCAGTGACAGTTTGATTCCAAGAAATATGATTAGAATACTTCATAAATGTTTGCAATAGAAGAACAACCTATGAAGGAATGCAAAGACATTTGACCCTCCGGTAAAGTTGTGTATGGCCCCTACATCCTGCAGGGCTTGAGGGAAATAACTAAAAATTCCAAAGCGTAAGATTGCATAAGCGGTCTTCTTTGTAAAAAGGCACAAAATATGCCAGACGTACTTAAAACAGCTTTGAAAAATGAGGATTACGGTTCACTGACTACACCTGTGTTATATTTGGTTCATCAAATTTTGGTAGTACTATAGAAGAAATTCAGAAAAGGGTATAATCATGATTCATGATAAAATAATGTTATATATTTTGGACAACTTCAATCTAGACCAGGGATGTCAAACTCGCGGCCCCAGAGAACTTCCAGTGCGGCCCTCGAACGCTTAACAATAATTGTAATAGTATTTTGGAATTTTTTTTATTTAAATGTAAAAGATTTTTCAAACCTTTTAAAGTGAAATTGAATATTCACACAGGAAACAATTTACTGAAAGTAGTTTTAGAAAGTTAATTTTTTTTGTTCACATTTTGACTCAATTAAGAATACACATCAAGCTAGCAAAAGAATACTGAATAAAACACTTGAGTGATTAAATTAAAGTACACGAAGAAGGTGGCATTTTCGAAGAAAATGGGAGTTGCAATATTTCTGCATTTCACAAAATTCTGAAGCACATTGTTTAATTTGTCATATTTCCATCAGTACAATGAAAAACACAATAAGCTCAGCAGTCAATATGACAAATTCGAAGACCAACTCCGAACAGAAAATTTTCATGTGTTTGTATATTAATATAAATATACAACGACTTAGTTACTAAAAATCAATATCAATAATAATTCAAGCAATCCTATGCCATGCAATGTAGCGTGAAATGTCTTGTCGAAAAAATCTGTCATTTGTTTTTTTACTGATCTATACATGAAATGATAAAAGTAACTTTTTTGCATTACTGGAATTAATTAAACTTTTGCAAAGATACAGATTAACCCATGATCATGTGACCTCGTTAGTTAGAGTTGGTACTATAAAATCATTTCAGCCTGGCCTTAGTATGCTGGTGACACAAAGAAGATGCCAAACGTCAGGACAAATGTAATTAAAAAAACATTGAGTTTATACTGTAGTATTTTTGTTAATTTTAGGTTCATATATTTAGATTAAGTCATTTTTAGTGTATATATTATTCGTTCCTTAACCAAGGCTTGTTCAAAAATGATTTTGATGATTGTACATGGAATTTTATGATTTTTTGTAATAAATACAGTAACTTGCAATAATAGTGGAATGCAAATATTAATATGTAACTGCATTTGAAATTAAAGAAAATAATGAAACTTAATCCAACTGATTAGTTGCATCACAATATATGTCACAAACTAAAACTATCTGAAAAATATCTCTCGAGTATACATTATCAAAAACTGTTTGCGGCCCTTTTTACAATTTCCAACATGCAATGCGGCTCTCGAAACCCATGAGTTCAACACCACTGATCTATTCTAGACGATTCAAGCATTGCTTTGGGAAATAATATCACTTCAATTAAATTGAAAAAAAATCTCGCTATATTAAATACAAAACCGTTGCTATCATAAAGGTAAACCAATTCAGCCACTCGGAATATATTGGCCTTCACAAAGCAATGGAGGCAGAATTGAGAGTTCATGAGCTATGAACTTTTGTTCTATTCTTTGTCTTGAACTTTTCATACTCCACAGCCTCTATTAATTTTTTTTTAATTTTAATTACCATGTGGTGGTCATACATACTGTATCTTTGTATTTTCTGTCATGATGTATTATCTCAATGTGTCAAACTTTTAATTAGTGTGTATATTTTGCTTGCAGATGACATGAATGTATTGTCTTGCTTATTACCTCAGCTTGGAGTATTGACAAGAAAAAAGTGCCCGTAAATTACGTAAAAAATGTTTAACTCTTTGATATAATCAGAATTCACATTTAATAGGAATTATAAACAGCCAACAATCAATGAGAATTATATGCAAAATTCCTCAGATTGAATTTGTCTTCTAAAATCGGAGGAAGGCAAAACATATAGGTAGTTTCCATTCACACAAGTCTTTCAAGAAGACTTGCTCGAGACAAACTAAATGAGCATCGTCAGGTGATTGGTAAGGCTGCAAGTTGAATCAGCCCTGCAATCTCCTGCATAGAAGATAATATTAATTAGCGGGCTATGAGCTAAATTTCTAAATTTAGACACAAACCTATCTACGAGGCATTATGTACCAGTAATGTTACCTACGATTAACTGAATATGTAATATGTCTAATAAATTCACCTACTAAAACAAGTTCGATAGGTGCAAACTTTGTGTTATGGAATTGTATCACAGCACCTTTAAGAGAAGTAAAAACAGTTTTGCTGTTTTGTATGACACCCTCTTTAAATGAAATTTCAATGTTTAAGCGCAAACATTAAAATTACTAACTTTGAACTTTGTCATTATCTGCAAAATGTTTCACACAAATCTTTACGCTATCGCGTTTGTAATATTCTCTGATAAAAAAAAACGTCTATGATGTTCAGAATTACTCTTTACAGCTTGTCTGCCATTCCAGCTTTCCAAATGAGCAAAACTTCTCAGATATAGAGATTATTTTCTTTCGTTACAGGCGCAAAAAGGCAGGTACTACACGTAAAGAAGACGCCGAGTAGCAAAAGCAATCGGAAAACCGTCGCGAAAGGCGACGAGAAATATGTGCATTGGAGCGTATCATGAAATACAATCTTTCGCATGTAGTCTTATGGAGTGACGTCAGAGTTGCCTATCATGTTGTTTAATGTCATTGCTTTGAACACAAAAAACGAATCTCTCGAAGTCCACAGGAAATTTGGAAATAAATAAAAGTAATAGCCTTCCGGAGAAAAATTTTATCTTCAACCACTGAAAATTTCAAAGCAATTGGTCCAGTATTCGAAGAGAAAAGCGACTTTTTAAAAACGTGTCAAAGAACAAGAACAACAACAACAACAACATAATATTGAAACGATCGTTATGTCCACTTCGTGTCCAAAAAAGAGAAATACCCGAAGAAGAATGATTGACAATGTTGCGAGAAAAATGCAATTTTTTTCTCAAGGTCGAGAAGAGCATTTGGAATAAATTCCAGAAACAACATAATTTTTGTGCAAGACGTCCTGGATTTTCCGACGCTTTTGGGTACAAACATACGCAAACAGAAGTTCAAGCATGGACAAAATTAAATAATTTTCTTCATTTTCATAGAAGTAAATAATGGTCTCGTTTTTTGGGAACTACGCTGTATAATACTGTTTTTAATCTAAATCAGTTAAATATGCTGCTTAAGTCTTGTATTTGATAGTTTGACGCCAACACAAATGATAACAACATGATATAACAGCAGGCTAGATCTTTGCCGCTGGAATAGACAAACATACGCTCTATATACGCTCATGCAAATATTCGAATGTGTCTGTATATATAAGTGCCTGAACTTGAATTGTGTGGAGAAAATGATGTTTTAATATATATAAGAATATTATGAAAATGTAATAAAATTTCTATGTCGTTTGGAATTTTCAAACGTCATTTTCCGTATGTAATATAATACACTGTTGTGAAAAAGAGTCGCAAAAGAGTAATCGAATGATGTATATATATAGGATTTTAGTATTAAATCGGACTCTCTTTTCATAGCTTGTCAAATTTACCTTTGGTGTCAGTAAAACTGTCATGACGACTTCATGATAGGAAGAAATAAGGACCGGTTACAAGTGAACTTACAACATGAGTATATATACATAAACAATTAATTTACCAGTTTAGCATCTCACGTGCAAGGCCACAACCGACCTGGGTGATCCACTCTGCGATGGCGAAAAGGCCATTAATTCTGTCGCACATAATTACCTTACGCGAGGTAATCGTTGCTGCGATGACAAGTGCACCTAAGTGTACCTAACGCACATCGCCATGCATCCATCAGTTCTGCCTTAGTTGTATTGAATAGGGTGAAATCGTCACAACTATTGAAAAAGATGGTATAATTGGATTTTAACGTCGCGGAATTACGGCACGGTATTACATGCTAAATAACTCCAACATATCAAAAATTTCATAGGATTATCGCCGGACACCCGCGACAACTCAATCGAACCCAGGGCTTTCACCGAACCCAGGTTCGAAACCACCGCTTGAGACAAACTTCCAGTCACGTAATTTATTTCCAGCTGTATTTTTAAGTCATCTAGACATGTTGAAAGTTCCCATTGAAGTTTCATGTTAACAGTAAAATTTCCACCATGAAAAGATCTTGTAGAAAATCTTGAAACGATGCGAAGTGTAAAAATCATCATCCGCTACAGGGCGCTTCAGCAGCATACAAATTTTCAGTTCTTAATATCTTAATTATAAGGTTGACATATGCAACTATATCAGCGTAAAGTAAGCTCAATCCAATGATAAAATATCGATTATTGCAAAAACAACGCCCACAAGAAGTATAATATTTTTTTTTCTGTGCGACAATGTTGATATATTTCGAACGCTGCCAGCACAAACGCGTTTAAATTTAAGGCCTTTGCGCAGTTTAAGCATCGCTGCAATGGCTAAAGGTTTCTTAACAGTTGGAAGCATGGGTCGTACTACGATAAATTTATTGCATTGTTTTACGTGTTATTGTGTGTAAACTATTCGAAAAATCACACCGTGAAACTATATCATAATTCCCTGCGTTGTCAATTCAAGTATTACTCCACTATGCATATATATATATATAATTATAAGTGCCGTACAATATATCTGCATAATTATATATCGATCTCAAGGTCTGCTGCATAACAGTATAATCAGTGTAGCGATCATTCAAAAAGTAGCTTCTTTGACTTAAAATCAATATCATTATTCTTTGAAATAAGCAAATGGCTGTTGATGTAAATATACGGTTAAACACTACGTGTCGGGGTGTCGTCGTTTCGGTTTTGCTGGCATGCCCAGCATGCGCTTGTGTTTTACACAGCGTTCCATTTAGGCGGAAATGTTTTAATCCCGAGTGGCGTATTATCACAGGCTATGTTTCCCGCGCAGTTAGATTTAAAAATAACTGCTTGTGGTCGCATGCGAATTTCAGGACTTACGACTTGGGAATAGGTTTGGTAGACGTTCTTGTTTTCCAACGCAGACAACGAGCATGTGCTTACTATTGCGTTATTCAGTTGTTGGTCATTGGTTAAATAATATACATACCGACTCAAAGTTTAGCAATGTAAATGTACTAAATAAAGATATAATATTGTTTTAAATGAGCACCAATTAATAGGATGGGCATTGGTGTTGAGATTGCTGCACTTTACTGACGTGCAACATTTTCAATAGGGATGCATCGTCAATTACCACTACATTTCGTGACGCCGTTGTAATTCAAGCTAACGAGATATGAGTGTTTACTGACAGGCAGATGGTTATCTAGAAACATCCGATTGATAGAAATGATTCCAAATTTTCACCATGACCGAACATTGGTCTATGTATCTAATACGATATGCATGTAAATGCGATATTGAGTATGTAGAACCTACGTGAATGAATAAAATCAATAATTACGTTTGCTATGTCAATAAAACGACATCGTTTCAAAAAGTGAAGAAAGTGTCTGTCGCATGATTATACAGAATAGTATTGTAGATATTATTTATGTGTCGACTTCTGTTCAGTTTTACCACGTGAAATTATTTTCATTATCCAATTGAGGAAAGTGGACACTAACAGAAAATATGATATAATGCAGATTGTAGGAATTCATAGCCGGACAAGCCATAGACAAAGGGAAGATGGCACAAAAATAAAACCTTCTACTTGTCTCATATTATGCCAGCAACTTTAAATGTAGCGATTTATGTAATGGTATCATAACTCCTTGACATACTTGAAAACATTGTTTAGTTTGTCCTGAAGCCGGAATTATACGTTTCAACGATGGAGGATCCAACGGTTTCGAATCTTCAAGCCAAAACGGTAAGTTTCTTTTTTTAATTTGGTAGCATGGTTTATGTTTCAGTTATCAAATAAAATATTGAAAATAATATTTGTCTTAATTCAATTAAATCACATTGCTGAATAAACTCGTTAAAATGCCACGCGTGTTCCGTTCGCAATGAATTGAAAATTTGTGGCATCAAGTAGAGAATACAGCTACATGCTCAATACCGTGGCAGTTCATTACATCGAAACTACTTTATACTCGTCCGAATTATTTTATTGCCGAAAGGCCGAAAAATTATCCTTTCTGCCGAACGAAATCAACACTATAAATTTATAAGCGATAAGAGATCAAAATAGAATAGATTGTCGTAATTTACAAATACTATCCGCGACATGTTCCTATAGGATAGGCTGAACACGAAAAGATACTGTTCGGCTTTTATCACAAGTTGTAAAAACTGCAAAATATATTCGAGTTAGGTAGACAATTTGGTACATCGTTCAGTTGACAGATGATTATGCCAATAGACAGTTTTCCAATTCAAAATCCACCAGTTCCATATGGCGTCATTGTTTCGCGGCCGATATCGAGCATATGGCTATCGAGACGTCTATTCTTCAATGAGAGAAAAATATGAGATCTCAGAGGGCTACTTACTCCATTATGAAAGACTATGAATTTGGTTTGCTTTTTGTTGTGACGAAATATTAATGATTTGATACAAAATGTTTAATTTTTGTTTTCCATCACACACCCATGTTCTAGTAAGGCTGTCACAGTTACTTAAAAATCTCCTATTGGCAAGTTTCACAAGTACCAACGCAAAATGGAAAATGTTAAAACGCAAACACGTTAAAGCTGCATGATCTAATACTACGTGCAATGGACACAATGTATGAATGCGACAGGAGATTACGTCATACGAGGCCAGGAAGTTACTGAGCTATGTTTGTGAACTAAATCCAACGAGTGTGATTGATTTTGCAACACAAACATTTGACCAAGATGCTATTGTTTGCAATGGTATTCACGTAAATATGTGGTTCTAGAAACAACTAAATCTTGCAAAAATGCAATGTTCCCTTCAATGCAAAGGTTGATAACAACGACACGTAAAGTTGTAAACTAGTAAAACTACAAAGTGGTGTATATTGAAAAGTGTACAGCGTCTAAATGTGCCTTCAGAACAAATACGTAATCTACTTCGTTGTTTTTGCATTTTAGTATATATATATATGTATATTCTTCATTGTTATTGTTTATAACAGAGGAAGTTGCAGGTGGCATAGGTTTTTATTCATCCTAACAATACATCGTAAAATCAATAACAAACTTACTAAAAACAGCAAGTATTTTTCATTTTACCTAACATGAATAATATTATCGTTTAATAATTGATCATACTCGTACACGGGTTATCCGAAATATCGTTTATAAAATTGCATTGCTTGGGTTTAATGTTATATCAGCATGTTGCCTATTGAAATTGACGTCGGCATTGTGTGAATCAGAGACACAAACATTCACGTAATTCCGATGTAGCAATATTTATTCAACACTGAGAATGCGGTACAATGCGAAAATAATATTTCATGCGAGAATATTATCCCTGCATCAAAACTTGTATGCTTGTTGTTATTAAAACGACGGCAACGTGTGATAATAGATAATCAAGTCATGGGATTTTGACACAGGATTATAAAACTGCTGATAAATAAAAACAAGTTTATATCTGTGTCACAAAACACATAACGTGTCACTTTGGATCACATTATAATATATAGATTGTGCATTGATGAATTCCAATTACACATAATTTATTAATGACCATGCAACAATATTATATAGCACTTACATTGCTCACATGGGTCAAAATTGCTTTGAGTTATTGATAAAATCTAAGCTCATGAATAGTGTATGGATGAAATAATCTTGGCCGAAATTTATGCTGCGTCCTGGAGTAATATATCTTGCTAGACTCGTAATTTAATTTTTTTAGCAAATCGAACGATTAGGGTTTGTCCTGAATATTTAAACAAGTACAAAAGGTTTTAGTCGTACATTCGCATTTTATACATATAACCAATCAACACTCCTCAGATGATGTATTCTATGAATACGGGACTGTTGCTACAGCCTTAGTAGTATACACTATTTATAACTCATTTTAATAAATTTGACCGAAACTAAGAGTAGTCTTTGACATTTCATAGCTTAATATCGGTGTTCCTGAAATCATTTGAAGTCAAACGTACGATGTAAATGTCGTACATTTGGTTACGGTGCCGTCCTATATTTCATTTCACCAACATGTCTATGACCGCAAAATGAAATGCTAGTTTTGTTGAAATTTATTCCTTGCTGCAATGCATGAATTATGAAGATGAAAACAAAAAATGAATGTATTGATGTCGTGATGGTTATCTAAACCGATAATTAAGTACCTTATTCAGAAGTCAGTTTTGTTTGAAAACAACATTTACTGTAACCGCTTAAATATTAAGTAGTTTATGATTGTCTCCTTCTGATCGAAATCGTTTGGTTAATAGTGTATAGGCTTTGTGATCGAGGTACGGAATCTCATATATATATCCTAAAAAGTAAGGCACTAGACTAGACAATAATTGAAATTTTGTAACGGAAATTTGAATTTTAAACGACATTTCCCACTCCTCGCCAAGTAATGGTAAAATATTGAGACGACTGGAAGCATTCCGGAATTTGCTTATAATCTGTTTGGTGAGAATTGTAAAACACCTCATCATTTTCAATTCTAGGATATAGAAATATTTTTATCTAGATTTAAAAATAGGCCAGTTGACTTTTATTCAATGACGTCTTTCTAGTTTGTAATCAACCGATATAAATATTATTGCATAACTTCTTACTGCAATCGTGTTTATTATTTGTTTGTACATTCTGCTTTGCAGGAAGGTGGGAGGCCTCTGTCATCATATGAAATAACATTGCAAATTCAAAAAGAATCAACAGAAAAAGCGGAGTTGGTCACAACCGAAAACTCTTCAGGTAATTGCATTAAAATCCAAAACAAATTGAATTGAAATAGCGAACAAAAAAAAAATAGAGATTCACACTGCTCAATATGTTAAGAATCATTCCCAGTTCGCCAGGGATCACCTTACGCTACTTACGTGCCTTTGCTTTTACAATTGCTTGCACAAGTGGTGTTCATCCGTCACTCCACCCCAGAAAACATTGTTCCTATTTTTTATCATTTCAAAACTTTTATGCTCATTTTACGAGTGTTTTCGTGAGTTGGTGTCAAGAAACTGGTTCACATGTTCACAGGCAGCTTTTTTGATCACCTGCCGTTTAAAAGTATTGACAACTGACAGCATTTCGGTACAAATTGTTGTTTATTGTAACAAACTAATACTTCACAAATTGCCCATGATTTATTTGGTTTACATCGAAAAGTTGTAAACACAGCTGAAAATTGGCATATCTCTAACAGAACTGCGTAAACGAACTAATATGACTACAAAGTCTGTCTATGTAGAAAACATATCTGAGTGGCGGCGAAAGTTTTAATTGTTAGGTCACCGTTGGCAACCTGCTGATTCGCTAATGTTACAGAAGTAAACGGGAAAATATCCATATAGCTAAGGGTCCCATTTTATATGCTTTATAGGGGCCTAGAATGCATGCCATAGTATGAATGTGACTCTTGATAATTGAAGTTGAACTTTTATGATATCTAATAATTGGTACACATACCGTCTTTTGAAAACATCACATTTTCAGATACGACGGTAGTGTTGATATAATATAACCAATGATATTGGACGTGAAACTACGGTTAATTAGAATTGATTTTCGATATAGGTCATCAGAAACCCGTTTATGTTCCTAGTGTAATGATGAGTTCACCTTGTAGGGTAACAATCGATATAATTATTTTGAATAGTTCGTTATATGGAACAATGAAAAGTATTTTTGTAGATTGAAATCGAAAATGCAACATTAAATTAACATTTTGCTTTACTGTCACGTTGCAGAATAAAAATGATTCATACAATATCGCTCGTGGTATAAATACGAAATCGAAACAAAAACAATCACTGTAAGTGATTTGAAAGTTTTTGCTGCAAACTAACACAAATATACTTCTGTAACGTTACATCTGACCAAGGTCCGATCGTGGATGGAAATATATTTGTGTTGGTGTGCGGCAAGACTCCTCAAAAACTCAAAATAGTTATCTTCAATCTTGTTCGCATTCATATTATGTACATACGTATCCACCTGCACAATATCATAGAAGAAGGATAAGTAGTTGGTCCCGCAGAAACCAAATCAATAACGGAAGGAATAATCAGGTTGCTCTTTCAGTCCAATACTAATAATCGCAAATAAAAAAAATGCGTAACAACCTGAATTAATGCCAGAGAAAATATTGATTTTCACATGAATAAACAACTGATCAATTATGTAGTAATTTATTATGTGCTCATTGGAATATTGTTGTTTCAAAAAATTTATATATATTTAAATTTGAAAATATAAACGATATATTTTATGGAGTCTATCACACAATCAAGTAAGTCAGTGCGAAAATATTTACCTATTAAACGTAGCGATTGGGTTATGAAAGTACCGAGCGTTTTCTGTTCAGCTTTCATCTGGTAAAGTTTTGTTAAAAAAATTAGTTGTCTTTGAACATTTTGAAGACACAAATACCGCCTTTTATGCTGTGGCTCTAACAAATCTTTACATCAAACAAATTATTACAGTCATAACAAGGAAGGTGAAATGACTAGAAGAACATATACATTGTAATTATGCTCGTATTTCTTATTTTCTAAATCTTTTTCCTCTTTTGATCTTAGCGGCCGAAGATAATGAACAACAACCAATCGAAAATGGAGAGATGAATGCCGAGCAAAATAATACTTCGGTCGAACCAGAGGAAATAGAGAGTGGAGTCGTCGAATCTACTGCTGTTGAAAATCCCATCCCGGATCCCGTAAAACAAGGGCCGAGAGAGTCTTCTTCATCTTCGTCGTCATCTTCGGAGAGTGAAGACGAATCGGAAAAACAAACAAATGATGACGTAAATAATGAAGCAGTCCCAGAAATCGCGCAAATCAAAAATGATGGTGATGAAGAAAATGGAGACTGTAAAACCCCGGAAGCGGTACCGGAAAAATCAGAGCAAGAAGATAATAATGAAAGTGAAGAAGTCGAGAAACTTTCGAATAAAGTAGAAATGGAAATAAATCAAAATATAGGTACTGAAGAAACAGACTCCGAAATCCCACCACGCGAAATGGTTTCACCACCATTACCCCCTCCCCCGGAAGACGTTACTTCAACCTCACCAGTCGACGAAAACGCGATTCCCTACCCTGATCATGTTGAATTACCACCAGAATCTTTTCCTCTGCCCGATGAAGCTCTAATATCTCCAGGGGATGAGTTACCGTCTCCTCCGCCACCCGAAGAAATTTCGGTACCACCAGAAGAAATTGAACTTCCTAGCCCTCCTCCTCCGGAGGATCAATCTAATCTTTTCACGGATCCCATAGAAGAACAAGAGGGGAATCTACCCCCACCACCTCAATCTTTAGAACAAGAAGATTCTAGGTCAACTCCCGAAAAAACTGAGGTACCGTGTCCTACCGTCCCGCCAATAGAAACGCAGGTATTAGAACAAAGCGACATGCCATCCCCTCCAAGCATAGTTGAAGACACGACACTGGACGTTGAAGTAGCCGAGCTGCCACCACCGCCGGCAACAACAGAACAGGAAACAGAAACCGAAGAAAATAGGGCGGAACAATCTGAGGTAGGTAAAATGCGTTTTCACGAAATACTCAAGGTTGGCTTAAGGCTGATTGTATGTATTTAATGGCGCATTTTTAAACTGCATTTTATGAAATGATATTTTGCTTTTATTTTCGCAATCGTTTTCATTTTCAAGGAACTCAATGACGAAAACAAGAGAAAAAGTAGCTCGTCTTCTTCAAGTAGTAGCAGCAGCAGTAGTAGTGACCAAGAAGAAGACCAAAAAGAAGTTGCTGCTGAGACTAGTACGGATACAGAAACACAATTGCAAAAAACAAGTCAAAATATAGAAACAGGAGAAAAACAAGAAGCTGAACCTGAAATTATTGATATAAAAGAGATTGAAACTGCTCAGGGGGATGATCCCGAAACAACAAAAATTCAAAATGAAGAAATAACGGACGAACCTCAAAAAACTACAGAACGGGAAAAAGCTGTTGAGGATGACAATGAAAAAATAGAAGAATCCGAACAACGACCACAGGAAAGTGAACAACTTACAAAATCAGTAAGTTATTCTACAATCTTATTATATTTATCGTTCTTATATGAATAATTTGTTTTTGTTTTGCTTACCCTTTTTATAGGGCGTAGATGTGCAGAAAAATGAACCAGACAAATCTAATACGGAAAACGTACCCAAAGCGGAAAAAAAAGACGGTCATACTAAACCACCTCGAGGAAGCTCTGCAATTACACCGGATGTGGAATTGGCAGAAGTGCCTTTAGAAGAAGCACCTACAAAATCTACACCGGAGTCTAGAGAAGAAATTGAAGCACCCGATAAAGCAAAAAAAGGCTGCTGTGTCATTTTATAAAACCATTTTTTTTTCTAAAAGATTATTAAATAGTATTACTAAATGTAGTGTGGTTCTCCGCGTAGAAATGGCGCAGGAATTCAGTTTTATACATAACAGAAAACCAGTTTGTTTAGTTCTCTAAACCCTTTTCTATGCCAACGTTTTATTAGTCAAAATCTAAATCATATCCAGGTTTTACCAACTAAAATCATATTCTAAACAATAAAAGATTGCCAAATTATTTAAAAATGGATATTTTCATCTAAGATTTTGATGAAAAAATAAATCAGTTCCGCTTAGCATATTGAACACAATTGATCCAATGTGTTTCCATTCTTTGTTAGATAACTGACATGATATAACAATTTGAAAATGTTCAACTGGATGGTCGTCTCAAAATGTATGTAAAGTATGTATACTTTACAGTGTTGGATAATAACTCGTTGGCTTGTCTATCTGTTGCTAGGTATTGTGTTATTGTGACGAAGAAACACTAAAGAATTTTCGTAATTTTTACGATTTGTGACAGTTTCTATGACATTTAGTTCGATGCAAATTTCAAATAACAAATTCATGGAATACCCATGTTTGGTCTACTCGCTTTTTACAGGCGACAACGCAGTTAGTTATTAAGCAAATGACCAATTGACGTTTTCATTTATTTGTATAAAGTTTCACATTTTACCACTGAAAATGAATTTAATTCTATAAAACGGCATGATTAACGTCATGATAACGGTTCTACATTTTACACCAGTCGGTTGCAAACCCCAAATTGGAGCCACTACATGGATATAAATGTAATAAAATTTTGTTTTTAAAACTATTTGTTTCGATTTGAAAATATTTAAAAATTCGATTTAATAATGTGATCCATCCTTTAATCAATAGTTATTGTCGGATTTCAATGGCTTTAGTGTTTAAAATAGCAAACATGTTTCGCGACTCGACAACATGGTAATGAAGAGACTCGATTTTTTACAACTTTTAGTAACGCACGTTATACATACTTTTTCCATTGTTTTTGGTCATGTGATAAGAAATCGATACTTCTTGTTCTTGTCTGTCTTATCAGAATTTTATGAAATTAACGTTTTTTTTTCACGACACAACTTCAGTCATTGTCTGTTTTTGTTTTTAAAGTGAAATAAAAGCAGCGGTGTTTTTCATTTGTGTCTTCAAATTGTTCGAATGTAATAATGGGTAATGGTGTTCTGATTTAGTGACTAAATCTTAAACAGATGCACCGTCGTAGAGTAGGGTATGTTTGAGTCATAATTTCCACAGTCGAAGAGCATAGAGTCGAAAATCGGAATGTGAGCGCTTCGTTTTTGTGATACACCAGATAAGCAAAGCGATAGTTTTGTACTAAAGTGAAATCCGTTAATTCATTCTCATTAAGACTCACGAAATAATGACTTAATCATTGCTTTAGTATGTCACCATTTAGATAGATTCTACTCATGCAACGTGAGTATAATAAACCTAGTCATCGCATCTGCCTGAAAAAATGAATGGTTGTGAATTCTTGTCACACCTTATTAAAAAGTTTTCACCATGCACAAAACAGAGAAAGCGTTCCGTTTCAATTGATCTAGGATTTCAAATTATATCATTTAATTGAAAGTCATTTGATGCTCATGGACATATCGCATTCGCATATGCTTGAAGACTACCGTATAGAACGCGTGTTGGTCCTCATTAGTTCCTGGTATCTGTTTCGATCATAACGGTATTATATTATCATGCACAATGGTTTACTGTACTGAACAGGCGCATAGACAAACAGGAAATACGACGTGATGCACAGCAGCGTAGTATAGAGATACTAGTCAGCAGGACTTGACGAGGATAACATATTTGCAGGCAAAATACGATATTTAAAAGTTAGGTTGTCCATGTTGAAGAGCGCAATATGAAGGTAAGCTTAAGGAATTAATATAAAAACTTCACACAAATCATATGATAGAATTTTAGTCCCGGTGTGTGTTTGTTTTTCACAGGGCGTTAAAAGCGGCAGATATACGTTCAAACGTGATGCCCCCGAAGAACAATTACTCGGAAGGCAGTCTCCACATCAAGAACTACCAATAACAGACTCAATAAACCGTGACCAAGATTCGGTAGACATTGTTTTTCGTCCAGAATCACCAAACAGATCATCCCTTCGAGTCTTCTTTCTGTGTTGCCGGAAGAATAAAACTAGCCGATTGCAATTACGCACTATTCCAGCATTAAAGCAGCCTGAAGACGAATGTTGCGTAATTTTATAATATTCGGCTCACAAAACGTTTTTTTTTTCGGCGCTCCCGTAGTATGTGCACCAAGATGACAAATACTGGAACGTAGTATGTGTACGGTACACAATGTACCAGGTTAGGGTTAGGACCTAATTTTATTTCACTTTTCCTTATTTTAGTTCTATTACGAGTTCGGGGACTAGCCAAGAGACTCCCGTAGTATTCGTACCTTAAATTATGGCCTAACCCTAACCTGGTACACATACTACGTTCCGGTGTCCTCCACCTTGGTTCACATACTACATGAGTACCTTTTTTTCTTTGGTATAGATCTCTGTACCTCATCAATGAGTTTTGATAGGCGAGAAAATATCTTTATACTAACTGTAAGGTATTTGATGGTGCGTACGTACACAAACGATACAGAATAATTTATCAGTTGTGATGAGGCCCCCCAACTCGCGGAACCACTCCTAAAATAATCACCAACACTTTTGCATTGGTATGGTATAAGAAGAACTCTCCGTGGTCAAAGGTCGGGGGAATCCATGGGCAGTCCAGAAATGATACATCAAAAGTTAGCCCTGCTCAAAGCGTATACTGTATTTATCACAACGCCTTATGGAAATTTAGAGCACAACTATGGTAACACATTCACTAATATTTAATTTATTTTACTATTATTTTCAAGTGTCCCAACCTTAATTTTAATTATAATTCAAAACCTTGGATTTATGTGCTTGCGATAGTCTTTCAGTTTTTTTTTGTCCTACTTGAAATATGCTAGATGGTTCATTCATTCATTTATTATTATGAATTATTATTATATTTCAACGCTATTTAAGATCAAAATTCAGCAATAACTTTCAACCTTATTTTATTTTAAAATTGGTCCTCACCAAACTAAGCATTGATTTATGTTTGAATGTTGGTTTACTTCCCCATGGTTCTCGAAGTGCCCATAATCTTAATTTTAATTACATTTAGTTACCCATCATTTTCGTAAATGCAATAATAATTTTTTTAATCACATCTGAAATGAGCCTCACTGATATTTGTGGTTCTAATTTTTCCATCATTACTTCTACGGCTAAATGCAAATTCAATCTTTATTCATTGTTACGTCATACTTGATTTAAGATTTGAAATTTATTTATCAATTTTATTTCTTGCCATTGTTGTAAACTGGTTGTCTGAGGAAGTCTGACTCTGGTCGGACGAAACGTTACAGAAATACATTTGTGTTAGTGTGCAGCTGGACTCGTTAATTGGATAGAATAGTCATGTTTATTCCAGCTACAGCATCCTTGCAGTATACGCATACGGATCCACTAGCATAAAGGCATAGAGAAAAGATAGGAAGTTAGTCTCGCGCAACCCAACTCAAATTTAACTAATATTTAAGTCGCGTTTTAACCTTCGTTCAGCTCAAATCCCTGACCATTTTATGGGTATTTTTAAACTTTTTTTTTTTTGTCAACCATTAAGCCCTAAATCTTAACTCATGGCTTTTTGAAAGCGTCTGCTAGAGTTCTATTCAGCAATATATCTTTAAAACACACTCATCAAAAAAAATTTCTAAAAAAAAATTGAACTTTGAGATATTCTGTGTACAGTAGAGGGTTAATAATCAATAAAAAGCTAAGAGCGATAGTAACAGTAAGTTACCATCAGCTAGCCTTAATAGCCCATATGGGCTTACCGGCGGTAGGAGGGTTTTAGGGAGAATCTTAGCCGAACATGTTGACATCTGATAATGTTTCCCAAACCTGATTTATAGTGCATTAAATTGTCTTTGAAGACAAATATACCGGTGCTGAGTTGCATATGAAGTAAGTTTGGCTTTACTAATCGTCGCTCCTTATGATGTCACAGATAGGAAATGGTCTTGAATCGACGAAATTCTCGGTCGGCTCATCTTCGTTATAACTGACTGTTTTTTCATTAATTGACATTTTTGGTCTGTCAAATTACATGCTGCCTAAATCCAAGCTGTGCTAGAAGACCAACGGTGTCAAATCGGTGTATCGCTATAAAGTCCTAAAAATGATCAAAAATGCGCAAATATAACGCTAAAGATAGTTTTTAGCTTCAAATTTCTTTGTACAGGGAGTCCTCGACTTACGACGTTGTTCTGTTCTTGAGAAGCGGTGTAACCCGAATTTTAGTGTAAGTCGGAACATTATACTGTATAGCAGTGGCGGCGCATCAATAGGGCCAACCGGGGCAATGCCCCGGTTTAAAAAATATTCGAAAAATACCTCAATATCGGTTGCACAGACTGTCTACACTAGCCATATTCTCCCGACATGGTTCATTTTTCGCTCGCAAAGCCTTCGCCAAACGTCGACGGGGCGACGCCGATTTTGCCCCGGTTGCACATTGTATATCGTATTCTCTCTTTTATCTTCCACTCGTCGCGTTTGTCTCGTTTGTTTTCTGTTTCTTTTACTAAATCATCGGGGCTAGCCCCGAAATTATGACGACACAATGCCGACGTTTCTTACAACAACGTGTTGACATATTCACGCATTCCTTCTTCGTTGGTTGCTTGAAGAGTTGATAGTTTCCTCGCCTTCGTTTTTGTCTCTTGTTTCGCTATTTGAATCAGTTAGAGACCTTTAGTCCATTTGCTTTCGATTTTCCATATTCCTTTTGAGCTCCTCACTTTTTTCCGGCTTCGCATTTCTTAGCCTTAGACCTCATAATGAATGAGGTTGATGCACTACTTTGCACTCCGTTTTCGCAGCTGCCGCTGGAACAAAAATTAGAGGTACAACGTCGTGGGCCTTATCAACCGAAAAATTGTTCACTGGAACAATCCCATGACGGAGGAAAGCGTCGGCGTACATTCTGCGCAGAAACTTGGTATAAAAAACACGAATGGTTGACAAAAATGCACGTTTTTGTTTTTATTGCCTACTTTTTGCTACCGCCCGTGACTCACGTTGGTGTAAATTTGGTGTTAGAGATCTTAAACATCTTTCCGAGCGTGCCAGGGATCATCAATCTTCTATGGAGCACCTGGACTATGCAGTAAAATACCGAACATTCGGAAATGTTAATATTGCAGCACAGTTGGATGAAGGAAGCGCGGTTTCTATTCGTCGGCACAACCAAAACGTCGAAAAAAACCGCCATGTTCTCGGTCGATTGATAGATGTTATGAAGTTCATTGGTTGTCACGAGCTGTCCCTCCGTGGGCACGATGAACGGGCTGGCTCTTCTAATAGAGGGGTATTTTTGGATATGGTGGAATACACCGCATCCTTAGATACAGTATTGAAAGATCATCTTGATGCCGCAACTGTTTCGAAAGGGACATCTAAGAATATCCAAAATGATATGCTCGACTCAATGTATAAAATTTATTTACAACATTTGGCTCTGGAAATTGAGAATTGCCAGTTCCTTTCGATTCAGTCTGACGAGACAACTGACATCACGTGCGTTTCCCAACTGGCTGTGATTTTTCGGTTTGTAAAAGATGGTAAACCTACCGAGAGATTTCACAGCTTTGTACCAATCGTTGATCGCACGGCTTGCGGGATATCGGCTGTACTGAAAGAAGTGTTACAGCCTTACAACGCGAAGTCAAAATTGATAGCTCAAACTTATGACGGCGCGGCAGTCATGAGTGGGTGGAAACGTGGTGTTCAAGTTTATATAAAAGAAGATTTTCCTCATGCGCATTTTTTACATTGTTATGCACACCAATTTAACCTCGTTATTAAAAATATATGTCTTGATACCCCTCTCGTCCGTATATTTTTTGCAAATGTTTCGGGGTTTTCTTCATTTTTTTCTGTTTCGCCGAAGCGCTCTGACCTCCTTCGCCAGATATGTAGCCGCCGTCTCCCAGCTTGTGCACCAACACGTTGAAACTTCCAATCACGCGTGGTGCAGGGCGTGTCCAAAATTAGGTCTGAGCTCATTGAGTGTTTCAATGGCATTCAGAGCTCTCCGGTTTGGGACGAACGCTCTGTGAGGGAGGCGGCAGGTCTAAAGCGTCTGCTAGAAGATGGTGAGTTTTCATTTTTTTTTCGCTTTTTTCTCCACTATATTCTATCACGTGGATGTATTATACGGCGCATTGCAGTCAAGGCTTATGGATGGAGCGTCTGTGCAGTCGTGTATTTCAGACTTCTGCGATGCTGTATCTCGTATCCGGGAAACAATAAAATACGACGACACATGGAGTGCTTCTTTACGCCGCGGGCAAACAACGCAGCGTTTGATTCTGTCTGCAAAGGAATGCTGTGACATTCTGGTGAATCAAATAGGCGATCGTCTGCGCACTGAACACCTTGCCGCGTTCTCTTTGATGAACCCCAAAAATTTTTCAAAATTTGCACGTCAATTTCCCATCCATTTGTTGGCTACTGTCTCCAAATTTTACCCCATGATAAACGTGGGTGAATTGGAAAATGAATTGCGATGTATATACACCAAACAAATTTTTTTGAACATCACATCAACTTGCGCGCTCTATGGGTTCCTCATAGATAACACTCTAGTAACTACCTTTGCGGCGTCTGCAAAATTTCTGGACATCATTTTGACGAAGCCTATTTCTTCCGCCGACGCAGAGCGAACATTCAGCACGCTGAAGCGTATTAAAACGTATCTCAGAAACACAATGAAGCAAGATAGATTAAATTCCTTGGCTGTTTTATCCATTCACAGAGACGTTATTTCTGGGATGCATAACTTTAATCAGCGCGTTATTGAGCATTTTGCTTCCAAGAAACCGCGGCGTGTTGCATATATGTTCAAGCAGTAGAAGTCTAGCAACATATATATCTATGAGTGAGCGACGCATGTCTTTATCTTTGCATTAACTTTCCTTTCTTCATAGTAACGTTATAAACCTTATTTTAGGATTTGTCTGCTTTCCCGAAGTTTCTGTTACTATGTCATTGTATTTATCTGGGTAAATATTGCCTTTCCTTTTGAAAGAGGTTTCAAAATAAACTATGTCTATATTTATTAATCCCTTGACTTGGACCGGTTTTAAAGACACTTTCTTATCGTTAAAAATTGTCGCTTTTGCCGATTGGTTGTTACCGATGGAATGGTAAAATGATGGGAGAACTTACAGCGCTCATCCTGTCCCCGTAGATGGGGGTGACTTGGTCCCGCAGTAGCTTGCCCCGGTTGTCAAAATGACCACGCGCCGCCACTGCAGTGTATAGTACATAAATTACTCTATACATATCGTACTGTATTGTGAAGTATGGTACAGTAATAAAATGTACAAATAATGCAAAAAGTACGATGTAAATGAGGAAAACCAATGAGCCCAAAGCACTGATTTTCTTGATCACAATCATCCAGTTTAAAGGCTTAGATATTACAGTACAGAATTCAATTTTATATTTTTTTGAAAGTGCGTTCGTAACCTCGAAACAGCGCGACCGTCGCGAAAGTCGCGACCGTCGCGACCGTCGTAACCCGAGGACTCCCTGTATATTTAAATAGCTTGTTGGCCGTGGTTCGACTCGGCGGTTTGGCGCATCGTGCTAAGCGTTGGAAATACGCTCGCCATAGCATTTTGATTAAACCACACGGGTTCGAATCCGGGGGATAATTTTGTGTGAGGGGACTCCTCGCCGCCGTAGGGTGGTTAACGGGTCATGTAACTAACTACTGGTCGGTTGGGAGTTCCTCCAACATCTAGTATTCTAGTCCATGCGTCTGAAAGCAAATAACTGGACGAGAGGGCGTGGTTCGCCATATGAATAAGCGGTCTTATCGGCTTTCCTCTACACCGGGATAAATATGTAAATCATATTCTAACCCAGTTAGGGCTTCCTCCAACATCTGGCTCGTGCATTGGGTGTACATATTTATCCCGTTCAAAATCCACCTTCCGCCTTCATTCTATCGCAGTGCTCTTCAACAGGGGTTTCGTGGAACCCTAGGCCTAGGGTTCCGCAATACATGCAGTGGGGTTCCGTGAGTTTATAGGGCTCCGTAGGGGTTCCGCGTTTTTTTTTTTTTTTTGGGAAATCATTTCTTGCTTCAGTATGTTGATGCGCCATTATAAATATTCTTAGACCACCGTGTCTCATTCAAACTTCAAGTAGGCCAGTTAGTTGAATAGGAGGTTTAGGCACAGTGCAGTCAATAGACAAAACAGAAATATTTTCGGTTGTTGCGTCACTTCAGTCATTGTTATGCAACCAACAAGAACGCTTGTTGCACCATAAGTAGCCTACATGATGTTCAAAGTATGTAGATATTGCTCGAGACTGGAGAGAGTATATACTACAAACTAGAGTTGTTGTTCAGTTTTTGTTTACAGATGAAGCAAAATAGTATATTTTCTTATGTGAGGCGAAATAATATCAACGGTGGAGGTCATGACGGCAATGAGCAAAGTTGTTCAAATGCAAAACGCGACACCTGCTCCACCTCCGAAGCAAACTAAATGTAATTCAATTGCCAAAGTTAGAATTATTTTTTAATTTTGTTAATTGGGGTTCCATAAAAAACGAAAAATTATATCAGGGGTTCCACAATAACAAAAAGGTTGAAGAGCACTGTTCTATCCCCTATCAGTAATCAGTAGTTTATTTTTCACCATATTTAAAATAGGCACAAACATACAAATTGCAATAAATTAAATTGAACCTTTCTCCGACCTTTGACCCTCGGAAAATTCTTCCTATACTTTACCATTGCAAAATTTTCAGGGCTATTTTAAAGGTGGGTTATCACGGAACATTTTTCTGGTTTAATTTTATTGTACAAATTTTTTTAGAATTTTTGACGCTTTCCGTTTACATAAAATCGACTTAATTTTCGAGATTCGAATTTTTAAAAGTCGACCCGTCAGGAATCGAACGCTAATTAGTATGGCCCCGTGATGACGTAGCATTGAGAACTCGTCAACGGAGTTTTGCATTAGGTTATAGGCATTTTTGGTACTTGGCAATTTTATTTTGGATGGTGTGTCGGTTCTATTGGGCATTGCAGTTTAAAACGGTGCAGTATGTTTTAACATATACCAGTATTTTAAAATAATTTCAATGCAGTGTTGGCAATGACTGTGAACTCAGCGAACTGCGGTCAATCAGACTACCGTGTACCGGTACCGTACTTGGTATTTCTGCTGAACTATTACCGGTAGGGCCTACAGTATTAGGGTACGGTACCGTACGGTACGGCATTGACAGCATATTCTAATATTTTAGGTATTCTTTATATATGAATTACTTATGTTTTACACTCTGTATCGGGTTCTGTTTTCTCTTCTACATCTATAATCCAATATTTTTTTATTACATTGCCAGTGCACCATACCTAACACCTGAACACTGTTACACCAACCTGCCAACTGACCAACAAACCTAGCAGCAGTATAGTAAATCAAAGTTAAATACCGGTATTGACCGTGCATCAGTAATGCCTAGCCGTTGTGTAATTGGAGGTTGCTCCAACACTCATAGAGATGGAGTGTCATTGCATATTTTTCCGAAAGATCAAGCAAGAAAAAAATTGTGGGTTAAATTTGTGAAACTAACCCGGTCTGATTTCTCGTTTCAAACACACAAACGACCACTAATCTGCAGTGATCATTTCAGTCCTGAAAGTTATGTTGAGAGAATGAAATATTGTGATGAGGGCAGCCAGAGGGTATTATTAACCATTTGTACTGGTCGGCGGGTAGCTCGGGGGGCGATGGTGACATGGTTGAGCAGAAAGTCATGAGCCTACTTCGTCACATCCGAAATGTTCACACAGGACATGGGAACCTATACATGGAATGTCAACATGCACCTTTAGGTGATGAGGAAAAAAGGAAGAAATGGATTTTTCCAGGTAGTAAATAATACGAGAGTTTTAATGGATCACGATCCAGTAAAAATACTGTAAAGTTTTTGGTGATTGCGGTTTGTCTTATATATCACTTTTTTAATAGGACAGAGAGCGTATGATGAATTGGAGAGTCTTTTCGATAACTTTAGGTTCAAAAAAGACATCCGAAAGCTCTCACCATTAGATCAGACATCTGGATTGGAAGGGTTCCACTCCCTATTGAACCATTTTGCTCCCAAGATGCTGTCGTATGGTTACAAAGGAATTTTCTGCAGGTCAGTTCCATAAATATTCCAATATCTGAAACAGAATAACGAGTTTTAACGGTGGGTATGTTTATTCTAGAATGTTATTAGCGGTTCTACACCGCAATGCTAATAGTGGAAGACCTCAGGCAAAAACAAAGGATGGGTGCCTGCAATATGAGGTCCTGTATCCTAGGGGGAAAATGGGACAGCACACTGTTCGAAGAGTACGCTCTGAGCCGTGTTATGGTGAGTCCGTAAAATATAAAAGGTTCGACTTGAAAAACATAAGTATAAGTGATTCACTTATCTTTTTCACAGCATATGTGAAAGTCTTGCTTCAGAAAGTTATTTCAGAGGTTGATGGCAGTTCAACCACAAGCCAGGGTGATCTGTCACTGATATCATCACCACCACCAACCTTGTCTTCCAGGTGTGAGAGGCCAGATAAGGAGCTCGCAATACAGGAGCTTCAAAGCCGTTTTAATAGTTAGGTATTGACAACTAGGGCTGTGGAGCCGAAAAAAATTTACGCAAGCAATTTCGGCTCTAACTTTTCAGGAAATCAAATTTGGCTTATGCAAGCTTTTGTAGTTTTAGAAAATTCAAATGTAAATTGTTATCACTATTAAAAAGTTAAAATGAAAAGAGAGTAGGCCATTTAAGTCTAAAATTCGTATCCAAAGGTCAAAAAAACATGTCAACCTCGGCTCCACAGCCCATAGTTCATCAAATGCAATTTATCCGTTCGCCCTTCTTGGTCTGATTTTCTGGTAATTATTTTGTGCCAATAAATTTTTTATCTGAAATCTCCATTGTTTCAACGCCTCTTGTTATAAATATTGGGTTGGCCCTAAAAAGGGCCCTTTTTCATGCAGTTCGCTGAGAAAACTCTTTCTAAGGTGAAGGTGGTTGAAATCCTGTGTATGAGGGGGATTCAAAATGTTCTCTTATCTTCACAACCACACAAGATGGGAGTGGAAATCTTATCTTTCTTCCTACCCTGCCCCAACACCACTCCACGAATGATCGGTAGGAAGTGTAACGGTTACCCCTGAAAAAATACAACCAATAAGATCGAAAGAAATGACAGATAAACATATTTAAACGTAACATAAACTTACTCATTTGGAGCTGCACTGATTTTGCCCCAGATCTTTGCGTATCTTTGGTAAGTGGCTTCAAGAACAAAAACATTAAGGCATATTGGTTCAAATCCAGGATGATCAACAATGCATTGAACCTCAATTCCATGCTGCGTAGCCAAACGTTCCAAAACTCTTTTGACTGCTGGGGCTTCATGACAACAAATGCATGATGCTGGATTGGATTGTTCAGAGCAGTGTGAACAAAAACACCTGCAAAAACAAGTGCGCTAGAATTGTATGGATAAAATGGAATACTGCTTTATTGGAATATGATTATTCAAGTTATGTTTAACTGATTCTGTATGTAAGACTTTTTATCAAACCATTACTACTGTAGTAGAAGACTACCAACACTTATTGTAGTACGGTAGCCTACTGCAGTACTGTAATTATCAACTTACCAATCTGTATTGCCCAGACGTTCATGATGCAGCTCTTTTTGAGTGCTACTGACTTCCAGTGCAGTAAGCTCTTCAGCAGTATATTCAGGTTCGTACATGAACCCCCCCCCCACACCACCTGCAATATACATCTCATCCTCCTCATTACTGCTCTCATATTCGTGCTGATTGGCCAATGTCACGAAGTAAACAAGGAAGTCGATCCTCGGGGAAAGGTCCACATCGGCTGACTTGTTCGATTCGGTACAATACGCCGAAAATATCATAAGACTCCATTGTTACGCGCTTTCACAGTTGCCACAAAATGCGTACATGGACTCGTTTAACATTAAAACTAATTTTTGCCAAATACCACACAAAACCACGGAAACGAGGCAATGTTTACAAACATGCTTGAATGTCTGTCTGAACGAACGAGATTGCCATTGTTGTTACGCCATCGTTTACTTTTTTTTCTGAATGTTATTTGTTACAGAAACAAGAGAGCTATGCTCAAATATATGGACACGTAGCCACCCAATGGCAATAATTTTGATGACGTCATAGCAAAAAAAAAGTGATAGCCTTCTGAAGAAAATTTTTATCTTTAACCACTGAAACTGTCAAAGCAATTGGTTCTGTAATCAAAGAGAAAAGCGACTTTTTAAAAACGTGTCAAAGAACAAGAACAACAACATAATATTGAAACGATCGCTATGTCCACTACGTGTCCAATGAACAAGGAAATCGAAGCTCGGGGAAACAGCACATTGACACCTTAACGGCATTGACCCGGTTAGAACGTTATTCAGCTTCTTCGACATACCAGACTATTACCGGTACCTAGTGGCGGCGCGTGGTCATTTTGACAACCGGGGCAAGCTACTGCGGGACCAAGTCACCCCCATCTACGGGGACAGGATAAGCGCTGTAAGTTCTCCCATCATTTTATGAGTATAAAAACCATTCCATCGGTAACAACCAATCGGCAAAAGCGACAATTTTTAACGATAAGAAAGTGTCTTCAAAACCGGTCCAAGTTAAGGGATTAATAAATATAGACATAGTTTATTTTGAAACCTCTTTCAAAAGGAAAGGCAATGTTTACCCAGATAAATACAATGACATATTAACAGAAACTTCGGGAAAGCAGACAAAACCTAAAATAGGATTTAAAACGTTACTACGAAGAAAGGAAAGTTATGCAAAGATAAGGACATGCGTCGCTCACTCATAGATATATATATATGCTGCTAGACTTCTACTGCTTGAACATATATGCAACACGCCGCGGTTTCTTGAAAGCAAAATGCTCAATAACGCGCTGATTAAAGTCATGCATCCCAGAAATAACGTCTCTGTGAATGGATAAATCAGCCAAGGAATTTAATCTATCTTGCTTCATTGTGTTTCTGAGATACGTTTTAATACGCTTCAGCGTGCTGAATGTTCGCTCTGCGTCGGCGGAAGAAATAGGCTTCGTCAAAATGATGTCCAGAAATTTTGCAGACGCCGCAAAGGTAGTTACTAGAGTGTTATCTATGAGGAACCCATAGAGCGCGCAAGTTGATGTGATGTTCAAAAAAGGTTGATTGGTCTATATACATCGCAATTCATTTTCCAATTTACCCACGTTTATCATTGGGTAAAATTTGGATACAGTAGCCAACAAATGGATGGGAAATTGACGTGCAAATTTTGAAAAATTTTTGGGGTTCATCAAAGAGAACGCAGCAAGGTGTTCAGTGCGCAGACGATCGCCTATTTGATTCACCAGAATGTCACAGCATTCCTTTGCAGACAAAATCAAACGCTGCGTTGTTTGCCCGCGGCGTAAAAAAGCACTCCATGTGTCGTCGTATTTTATTGTTTCCCGGATACGAGATACAGCGTCGCAGAAGTCTGAAATACACGACTGCACAGACGCTCCATCCATTAGCCTTGACTGTAATGCGCCGTATAATACATCCACGTGATAGAATATTGTGGAGCTCTCCCAAACCGGAGAGCTCTGAATGCCATTGAAACACTCAATGAGCTCAGACCTAATTTCGAACACGCCCTGCACCACGCGTGATTGGAAGTTCCAACGTGTTGGTGCACAAGCTGGGAGACGGCGGCTACATATCTGGCGAAGAAGGTCAGAGCGCTTCGGCGAAACGGAAAAAAATGAAGAAAACCCCGAAACATTTGCAAAAAATATACGGACGAGAGGGGTATCAAGACACATATTTTTAATAACGAGGTTAAATTGGTGTGCATAACAATGTAAAAAATGCGCATGTGGAAAATCAAAAGCAAATGGACTAAAGGTCTCTAACTGATTCAAATAGCGAAACAAGCGACAAAAACGAAGGCGAGGAAACTATCAACTCTTCAAGCAACCAACGAACGAGAAGGAATGCGTGAATATGTCAACACGTTGTTGTAAGAAACGTCGGCATTGTGTCGTCATAATTTTGGGGCTAGCCCCGATGATTTAGTAAAAGAAACAGAAAACAAACGAGACAAACGCGGCGAGTGGAAGATAAAAGAGAGAATACGATATACAATGAGCAACCGGGGCAAAATCGGCGTCGCCCCGTCGACGTTCGGCGAAGGCTTTGCGAGCGAAAAACTAACCATGTCGGGAGAATATGGCTAGTGTAGACAGTCTGTGCAACCGATATTGAGGTAATTTTCGAATATTTTTTATCATACCGAAAAAACAACCGGGGCATTGCCCCGGTTGGCCCTATTGACGCGCCGCCACTGCCGGTACCTATCATATGGTCATGCCTGAATGATTCATGACGTAATGGCAGGTAAAGATTTCCTAAAGGGTAGTCGAACTCGAAGCTATTTTGGACAGGCTATTTAATTATACAGCTGCCTAATTGTACGAGAGAATTATTGACATTTTAGAATATACATATTTATTCCAGGGTATAGGAAAGACAGACGGCTTAATCATATGGCGAACCACTGCCTCTCGTCCGGTTAGGTAGGGTAGTAACTGTACCAGTTTATATCTGGTATACGGTACCGGTTGCTATATGGGATCAGTTGGCCAGTTACTCGTTTTCGGAAGCATGGACTTTACTGCTCTATCATTGGCAGTTGTTAATGCATCTTAGTCTTCGGATCTAATAGTCACGTTACTGAATTTCTCGATCTCACTGTATCCGAATAGAAGTTGTAAATTGAACCGTACCGGTACCGTGTCCGTACCGGTACCCTACGGCAGACGGCAAATGCAGAAAATAGGCGAGCTGAATGGTACGGTATCGTAACCTAACGGACGTAACGGTAACTTTGCGGTGCTACATTATTGTGTAACATTATTGTCCAATAAAACAAAAAAAATTGAAAAGTCATTGTTGAAGATAAGTATAGTTTTATTAGTCAACAAATACTGCTAGCAATCTAATGACCATTTTGAAGAATTGTTACCATGTGTATCATAAAGATTGCTGAATGCTTCTCATGTTCTATATGAAGAATTCTAATAATAACTCAATGAGGCTGTAACAGTTGTAGGATTACGCTTGCTACAGTAATTAGTGATCAAGGCTTTTTTATATGATTTTCTCTCCCTGGCGATGAATGTTGAAATTTAGTACCATCTTATATACCGGTACATCCTAATATTGTCTTGCTTTTCAAATCCCATGAAGCAAGCACTCTGTATTTAGTCTGCTTTTTATTGAACTATTAAAAGTGCCGAATAGTTGTCAGATTATTTCAATGGCGGATGTTGCGGCTCATGATCACAAACATGTTCATGATGAAAAACATGTCGTCAGATTTCCAGAAGAACAAGATGATAAATGTAATAAAATATCTGTTTTGAGAACTGGAGGTTCAAATAACAAAGTTGAAATTCATGCTGGATTTTTTAAATCTGATCACAAGTGAGTCTGCCCTGGAATATTTTACCATTTTTAACCCGATACTTCCAGTCTATCACAAAAAATGGTAATAATAATGAAAATCGATGAATAGACTCTACCAATCTAAAATGTGTTCAAATGACACTGTTGTTAATAGATTTCAAAAAAGGAGGGTGCTCCCTTCTTGTTTGGAAATTGTATAAAATTTGTGTATGTATGTATTAGTTTCTAATTTCCGCTTGTGTGGTTCAAGTATTAAATGTATATTTAAAGTTGATACAATTCATGAAAATCATGCATAAGACTGAACACAGCTTATGATCACCCTTTGCACAAAGCCTCCACCGTATTTGAAGACTGTTTACTTTAAAATATTTGCCGAGCACTTGAAGCAAGTAGTCTTCTCATTACCACCATCGGCTGTAGGCTATAGCAAATATTAGCAATTCTAAGTCATGTAATTCAACTGCACCAATGTGTTTATTCCAGTCGAATAAAACATTAAGATAAAGACAAAATGAAACTAAGTAGTCAGTAATACTAATCTACATTAGGATAAGAATTCAAATATTGAATAAAAGTAATAACTATTGGGTACTGAATTTTCCTTTATATTTTAGGTATGAAGTAATATTTGAAATCAATGACTTCGTAGGTCTTGGCAAAGATGTATCCATAGAGGCTCCATCAGGTGCACATATGACCTCCACAAATGTTCAACACAATACATCTGGTAACTATTTAATATACTTTACATTGAAACAAAATCATATGATAGGTACTAAACAAGCAAGGGTCATTAGGTACTTATTACAACACAAAACCTAGATTGGAATGACTTTCTATGAAATTTGTAAAATATATAAATAAACCCAAGGCCATACAATTTGATTGAGGCACACAATATCCAGTTTGAATAATGCCAATGTTTATATATTTCATTAGGTAACATAGAAGTCACACTGGAGTACTTTCCACAGAACATAGATGGTATAATAAACGAATGCTTTACAATCAGATCAAACAATGGAAATAAAGAACTTCATGGAGTATTGAGAGCAGAAGTTCTAGGTAAAATAGGATATTGATGATGTGAGAAGGTACTATGATTGCACTGAACAGAAATACCTGCAAAAATTGCATCAAAGATTTGTGTATTTATGAAAAAAAAAATGTCTGATTTGACGAAACTTCATTGGGTGTGTATAAATGAGATTAGATATTTACTGCAATTGTAAAAAAAAATGCAAAAATAAAATAGGTATCAACAAATGTATAAAAAGTGTGCGAACCGTAATGTTTTAGTCCTACTCATTTCATTATTTCAGGTCATGGCCAAGGCACCCCAATGTTGAAAGATGGAGTAAGATGCATACAAAGGCCACATAGTGCAAGTTCGTCAACATCAAGCTAGATAAGGATCAAAAAACTGATTTGAAGATAAAGTAACATCTCTGAGCCATGCTATGAATAATATGAAAATTGCTTCTCAGCTTATCTTCCATTCCTGCCCATTTTGTAAAACTCTCTATTAGGTTGAACATGAATAAATGACAGCATTTGTGCGGTCATGGTGGTAAATGCAACTAATGCTGCAATATCCCAAGCATCTTCCTTATTTAGACCATGGTCTTCCAAGTTTTTAAAATACTCATCCGTTACCTCCTGAGAATGGCACACTGTAGAGGCCAAAGAGAGGATCGCTTTTTCGCGAGATGTTAAATCAGCATGTTCCCAATTTGCGATGAGCTGTTAAGAAAATTTGACCTTTTATACCTCTTTGTAACTACCGTTTTGTACACATATTTAATCATTATATATAAAATTTCAAAAGTGCTTATAGAGCACAATCGGACGTATAATACCATTTAACGAGGTCTTATATCCAATGAAGCACAGAAAAAATTCAAGTTGCCAAATTATCAATATCAGATAATCAATCACATTAAAATCAGTGAAGAGAAAAATCAATGTTTATGGATGTTTTTAGTTATTGGTGGAAAACGCTGTTTATGACACCCATCCATTGAAATACAATATTGTTTTATTCCAAATATACTTATGGACTATATACTTGGTGGTTTCATATCAAAATTCAATTTACCTGTTCCGTCAATTCTGGTTTATTTGAATATTTCCTATGTTGCCCACTGTGCGCAACAACACAATACAGGCACTTCAGCTTTGAACTTGTGACTAAAGCTACCATTTCTCGGTCTGCTCTAGTCAAGTTTCCCTCTTCTGCAGTAATTGTAACAATTGTTTTATATCACAACATGTTGAACGTTTTGTTCGTAGGAATATAATAAAATCCTGACAAACTTTATTTTTGCAATCTACACAGTGATGCTTCACAGTGCAACTGCTGAATAGTGATCCATCCTATGTCTATACCGCAGATCAGCAATGATAATGAAAGTCCTTACCTTTGAACCAGAGACAAAATATTCTAAAAGATTTTTAATTGGGATGCCTCTAGTTCTAATGAATGGCAATAACATCACCAACTAAAGGTTCACAAATTATATCCCCCTCCCTTGTTTGAACTAGAGACATACCCCTAGATAACATAGTTAAAAAAGCTGATATTCTTATACGATGTGATTACCACCACCAGGATAGACAAGATAAAACCGTATTTTGTGAGCGTTATTTATGACATAATTTCAGCTTGAAAAAGAGATATTCCAGAACATGAGAAATTGGTATTTCTCTTCTATATAATCGTGTAATATTCAAAATGTTAATATAGAATTTTGGCAGCGGAAATAGCCAAATTAGTTGGGATAGTTTAGCTTATAAATAGCTGGAAACAGTTCAGAATCTTGTTCCTACTCGCAGTAGTGGGGAAGAGCATGGATCGTTAACGAGGCAGATATTACAAACTTGATCCCTACATGGCAAATAATAATTTTAATACTAACTTATCTTTTAAAGCGTTGTAGATCAGATCAAAGGCTAAATATATCGGTCCAGATTTAGCTGGCGCCTGAAAATGGTTAAAATTACCGATACATCTCTAGTTCGAATATGGTATAATTTAAAATATCCAGCTTCACCTTTGTGTATCAATGCATCATAATATTCATAGAAAGCTTTAAATTCTCTCGGTCGTCTGGCATATACTTGAAGAAAATTTGGGATAAATCCATTTCTGTCCTCCGTTTCATGCATTCTTTCACGTACATGCACAGGGAGTTGCTTGACCTGATGATATGTTAAAAATAAATTGGTCTACACAAACTATAAGTGTCAACATTATTAACAGCAGAGAATTCACTCACATTTGGACTCTTGTATTGTGTTTTGTTGCAGTGTCCTTTATATTTGCTAGCATGAAAAATCTGCTTCGTAACATTACGTGCTGCACCATTTATCTGTAAGCATTGAAAATAGGTATAGAGCTCCTAATTAATTCAAACTTGGACATGCAGATTTTTATGTAGTGATATGGTCTGTATGGAATATACCTAGACCAGGGGCGGGCAACATTTTTCGGCTCGCGTGCCGAAATCAGCTAAATTTAATGACAAAATTCTTCTGCGTGCCGACCAAAATTGAAAACAATTCTTTGCTCCGTTTTAAAGCAACGATACACAATAATAAATCTTTTAAACATGTGCAGACAGATTCACTAGTCGGGAAAATATCAGTCCGACAAATAAATTTGATTCCTTTTCTTATTCTATATAAGTGAGGCTTCTGCTGCTGCATTACCGCTGATAGAGATTTACATTGGGTTTATATTCTGTAACTTTCAAAGAAAAAAATGAACTACTGGTTTCATCTTTCAGGCTACTCTTATTATAAGATTTTATAAAGTTCATAACTGAGAACAGAGATTCACAAGCCTATGTAGATGAAAACATGGAGAGTAATTTAGGAGATGGAAAATTTTCGGTAATGGCATCCCAATCATGCAATAGTTCGTTTTCTGCACTTCTCTCTGTATTTCCTGTCATAATCTCTTTTGAAATTAATCGATAACCGTAGGTTAGCAAGTAACTCTAACCATCATGAGCTTTACAACTTCATAAATCAAGCAGAAATGAAGAAAAAGGGTGGCACAGACAAACCATATTATGTAAGAATGTAAGCCAAATCAATGCTGCTCCCTTCTCGAGAGCTCACTCATTTGTTATGTCATAATATATTTCTCTGTAGCCATATGTCATGAAAATACACAAAGAGTTTAAATAATTAACGGATTGTTGAACGATAATGAATAAACGAACACCTAGTTTAATCAGATAATTCTTGAAACTTTTTATTTGAAGAAGAATGATCTCGTTTTTCGAGGTCTCGCTCGCGTGCCGAATAAATGGGCTCGCGTGCCGAAGGGGTTGCCCACCCCTGACCTAGACTGTTGTGGACTGAAGCGATCATGGGATTGGTATCTGACCAAATTATAAAAAAGGGTCCAGCTTCATGGAAAATTGGATACAGAGATAGGAAAGGGTGATGCATTGACTGATTGAAGGTATAATAAAACTGGATCATGTGAGCAAACCAAGGTCGCGGTTACGAGAATGAATACCGGTGCTGTACTAGTGTATAGACTGATAGAGGTAATAATTTACTAAATCTGTACACTACCGGTAGTCTACATGTTTGGTGCTTAATTTCATATCAGCAGGAAAAGGGCAGTTCAGCAAACAAGTACGTACGGTATACCGGTACCGGTATACCTGCAGTTCTGGTACTTTAGTACCTTGCATTGTTAGCCACATCCACATGGAAACATGTGTGGCCTCTATAATTGCATAATTTAAAACTTACCGGTACCATGCTTTGTGTTATCAGCGCTTTAGCACATCTCCTTAGCAATGGCATATTATTTGATGTATATTCATACGCGGTTCCCCCGACGTCCAACAACCTGCAGGCGAATCGGGCACTGTTATATTGAACTTATCATAAATAAATACTAATACTAACAACTTATGTATCAACGGGAATCAATGAAGCGTTAAAGGTCATTTTATTTTCGCATTTACTTCTAAAGACGCATGCGGAATTCACTATTTACGATATGAAAATAAAAATATACAAGTAAGAGTGGAGTCAATTTTTCTACACTTACAATTCAAATAGTACAGAAAATGGAAGCAAAGTTTTCTGACAAAAGTAAGTCAAATTTTCACAGAGACGAGGTTGCAAGTACAACAAAAGTTCTATGTTTTAATCAACTTTCCATAACACCCCACAGCTCCCCAAAGAGTGCAGAAAGCAATGCAGATACTGTACAGGTCGAAGCGGGAAGAAAGAAAAGAGTTGCAGTTCTTCAATCTGAAGGGGGAAAATAAGGCTGATATCAATGTTGCTCAGGAAAACAATCACAAATCCTATCATCAGAAGCTTTAAAATCGAGCAGATTAATAAAACTGAAGGTTAAATAAGTCTATAAATGTGAATGATATGTGCACAACTTTTCTAAAACCAAGTCAAATTATCTTTATTATATTGGAACTAAAATAGTAAACAAATCAAAATGTGGACTCAACTATTTAAGCAAATGCCGAAATAAGGTCATACTTTTTGCAGGAGAAATAAAATATTAAATGAACCGAATTTCCTTTTCATATTCTGCTTTCTATAACATAATGGCTCACAGAATTATGAATCCAATGAGAAATATTATACATTCTTCGTTGTCGAGATGAGACTAAAAAGAAGTGATTGAAAATTTGCAATACAAAATACTAAAAATAAAACTTAAAACAATATATATATGAGTTTTGTGGTGGGAGGCCCGCGAAGATGAAAAATGCTGTTTTACTTTAGGCAATGTAAATAGCAAACTTTTATTTGCCTACGGCACACATTACGTTTGGTTGACGTTTGAAACCCTACCGTCACTGAAATTGAAACACCGCCAATGGACCTTTCCCCGAGCATCGACTTTCTTGATACTTCCTGACATTGGCCAATCAGCAAGATGCATAAAGTGACGCAACAATGTTACCTTTTCGCATCCGCTCAGAACTTTTCTCACTCAGACAGATTTTCAAGCGTGGTCGTAAACATTACCTCGTTTTCGCGTTTTTGAACTCTAATCTTTAGTTTTCAGTTGTGTTTCGGAAACTTAAATATAAATCAGATATTTCAATGATCTCTCTGTCTTCCTAGAAGCTTTAATTTAATTGCAGTAATAAAAAAATGGGTGTAGAAATAGCTGTTATAGACTAGGCTAAAATTCTTTACCGGTACTTTCAAAAAACAGATTGTTGTATGCGATGAATCATAATGATGGTTTGAAACACATACCCCATTTTACAGGCACCAACTCGCAAAAGCACTGTCAAAATAGCCCCGAAAATTTTGCAATGGTAAAGTATAGGAAGAATTTTTTGGGGTTCAAAGATCCATTAGGCGTGGGATTTACCTCTTTATCCATTCCTTTAACCTAGTGATACCCAACCTATGGTACGCGAGTACATTCTGTTTTTATGCAATCGAAGGGAGTTCTTAGTTGGGGTTCATTTTGAGTTTTTTGAAGCCGTAGTAAGGTACGGTACTTAATTTTCTCACCATCGTGACGTCATAAAATATCCAGGTTAGATGCGCGCACAGATTCGCCCTTAGCACTAAGGTGCTTTCACCAAAGTTGTGCTTCGTGCTTGAGCCGAATTATCAAAATAATAAATTTAGTCAAAACGTCAACTCTAGACTAGATAGTCGACTGCTTTAATGAAGCTGACTTGGGAACAACACAGACGAAACACAAAGATTGTTCTTTAACAGGGATGGCGAACCTTTTTCAATGAATGGGTCAAAAACTATATTTTTATCGCGGAACAGAAGAGAGTGGGTCACAGATATTTAATTAACGTTTGTATCTATAAGAAACTTCTGAAACAAATCTTATAAGCTGGTGTTGGTCTAGTTTTGGGCTTTACTTATGCAGCACTCTATCAGGGACTTTTTATGGCACTCGGTTTTATGATATTATGTTATTTATCATAAAATGCAAAGTAGCATCTAGTTCTCGTATAACCCCTAAAACAGGCTGCAGATGCACTTCCAAAAAAGACAGGCGTTGCGAGAAATGAAAAGATCAATTTCATTGTTATGTCATAAATGATGTCAGGCCCAATAGTTGAATAACGGTACACAGCGGTGCGCACATGCGTACAAGATTAGAGTTTTTGAAAATTACCATACCGGCCCGAAATCAACATTTTGAATATGAGCGATCGCAGCCCTCCCTGACTGTCCAACTGACGGTACATTATAATAGTTTAGTTATTGTTAGATTAATTTAAGGTCGGTTTTATCAATTTTTATAACTGATATGTTAGCATTTTTATTTTATTCGTGCCTTCGCTTGGCGGGTCACAAATAAAACGCGGTGGGTCACTTTGTGACCCGCGGGTCAGTGGTTCGCCATCCCTGTTCCATAATATACTTATGGCTTAGCATTGCCTCCTCTGACTCAACGCTAGCTTCTTACGCTATTCGCCCGCCAGATGCTAATTTTCAGTTCTACGTGGGAGTGCCAGCAGTAATTTTAAATTGAACAAACTGTACGGTGTACAATGATAGATTCCCACATTCAATGACTAATTTAATGAATAAAGATTTTCAGTAGGCGCATTTCTCATGTTATCCAAGATGAACTAACTGTTATGGGGTATATAAATTGATACCTATTGTTGTACATTTATCAAGAACTACGCGCACCCACAGTTCTATGTCTCATGGTGCGCATTGCGCATTTTACATGTGAAGCCTTACCCAGTCAATGCTAATACCGTTTTGATCAGCCGCTTCGAAGTTTTTTACCCTTTTTAACGCAATAAATATATGAACAAGCCGATCTTGTGGGGTAATATGCGAATTCGATTGTGAATTTCCTTATATCTGTCCATCTGATTGGATGCGTGTATTTTTTCATGTAATGTAACGTGCATATAACTCGTACATGCCACCGCATACATTGTATTCTTATGAAATGATCTGGCAGTATTTCTACATCACTTAAATACCTGTATAATATGTGTAATATAGTGACCTTTGACCCGTGTCCGTTCATGTCTGAAGGTGACTTCTAAGTTCTGTACTTATCACGTGTACTGTGTGACATTAGCTGTTATGAGTTGGTACTGTGTGCATTAACTGTTTTAAGTTTATCTATCTGGAATGTGTTCTGTTTCGAATGTGAATAAAGTCTACAAATGCAATATAGTTGTGCGTGTATACACACCACCTTACATTGGCGACGAGGATAAAGCAACGGTAACAGATAACGTTAACCTAAGTGGTAAAGGAAGCTAAGTGCAACCTCGAATACGGGAAAGACCTACGGAACTTGGTGTGAAGTAGTGGTCAACGGAAGTCAAGAGTCAACTAAGTGTTGTACAGTTTCAAAAGCCAAGAAACATTCCAGAATTGTACCTATATTGCATTCCTAAGTGGTCTGTGCTGTTTACAAGTTCTTAACCCACATATAGAAGATGGCAAATCTACCAGATTTCAGATCATTTGATTGTGAAGACTTATCAAATGCTGGTCCCCGGTGGAAGAAATGGTTATCGCGTTTTGAAGTTTTAATGTTAGCCATGAACCACAAAGATACCGAAGATGACAGAGAAAAGAAGAAGAATCTTTTACTGCACTATATGGGTGATGAGTGCTATGATATATATGAAACATTAAAAGAAGAATCTGACAAATTCTCAGACGTAAAAGACAAACTGACATCTTATTTTGTTCCTAAGTCAAAGAGTGAATATGAAAAATATATATTCCGAAATTCAAAACAAGAGGAAGGTGAAGGTTTAGATCAGTTTTGTTCGAGATTGAAGAAGATTTCATTAAACTGTGAATTTGGAGAAAATCGTGATTCTGAGATTAAAATTCAAATTATACAAGGTTGCCTATCTTCAGAACTAAGAAAGAAAGCTCTCACAAAGTCAATGAATCTCACAACATTGCTTGAGACGGGAAAAGCAATGGAGTTGGCTAAAGATCAACTGTGTGCAATGGAGAGTGAGTCAAGTATCCAAGGAATATGTGGAGTTAGTTCCTACAAAAGAAAGTGGAAAAAGAACATTTCATCCAACAATTCTAGTCATGCAAGAGATCAGACAAAAAAGCATCAAAGTAATAAAGGTAAAACCTTTCATACAAAACGAAAATCATGTTTCAGTTGCGGTGGAGCGTATCCACATGCAGAAAAGTGTCCTGCATATGGTCGCAGATGTTATAACTGTTCCAAGTATGGCCATTTTGCTAGATTCTGTAAAGAAGCGAATAGTAAATTCAACAAGCCCAAGTTGAACAGTGTGCAAAATGAGCCTAAACATGATTGCAGAGATCATGAACTGAGTGAAATGAGCTCTGAGAATCATGAATATATTCTCTCAGTGAATGGATCAATGTGTAATTGCTCCAATAACAATAATCCTGCAAAAGTACAGTTGAAAATTAACAATGTTTCCTGTTCTATGCTTATAGATAGTGGTGCTAGTGTCAATGTACTCGATTACAAAACTTTTCAAAATTTAAAAAGTAGATCCAGTAAACCATGCAAATTGGAAACTGCAAATATTAAGCTTTATGCTTATGGAAGTAGAAAACCCTTGTCTGTGAAGGGGAAATTTCATGCAGTTGTAACTTCTAAGTGTGGCAAATGCATCAACACTGTATTCTATGTTGTTAGATATGCAATTGGTTGTTTGCTCTCTTTCAAGACTGCTAGTGATCTTGGTATTTTGAAAATTATTAACTCTGTGTCAAATGATCGAGTGGATCTCACTGAAAATATTTTAAGGGATTATAATTCAATTTTTCAAGGGTTGGGGAAATTGAAAAACTTCCAATTGAAGTTGAATATTGATGATTCTGTAAACCCTGTTCATCAAAAGCACAGACGAGTTCCTTTTAAAATGCGTCAAAAAGTCGAAAGTGCTGTTGCTAAACTTTGTGATGAAGACATTTGTGAAAGTGTGGGAAATTGTCTTACTCCATGGGTCTCTCCTATTGTATGTGTTCCTAAACCTTGTGACCCAGAAAACATTCGACTATGTGTCGATATGCGAGCTGCGAATAAGGCAATAAAGAGGGTAAAACACCCTATGCCTACTGTTGATGAACTTATACATGATTTAAATGGATATAAAGTATTTTCCAAGTTGGATTTGAACCAGGGTTATCACCAAATTGAATTACACCCTGACAGTAGACATATTACTACTTTTAGTACCCATATTGGATTATACAGATATAAAAGATTGAATTATGGAGTCAATGCTGCTAGTGAAAAATTTCAATATTTGAAAAAACAAGCATTGCACGGTTTAAGAGGTGTCAAAAACATCTCAGATGATATTTATATCAGTAGTGTAAATGAGACTGAGCATGAGAAAGATTTAAGAGCCTGTTTGCAACGTATAAGAGACTGTGGTCTTACTTTGAATAAGAAAAAGTGTTCATTCTTTCAATCGTCTATAAAGTTTTTTGGAAATATTTTTGGTGATAAAGGTGTGTCACCTGATCCAAATAAGGTTGAAGCTATAAACAAGGCTGATAGACCTTGATAGACCTAGATAGTTAAATCTTTTCTTGGTATGTCGAACTATGTTTTTCGTTTTATACCTAATTACTCAACTATTGTTAAACCTATACAAGAGCTTGCTGAACAAAATGTTGATTTTATATGGAGTGAAAATTGTGAAAAAGCTTTTTGTGAATTGAAAAATAGTCTCACAAGTGATACTGTTATGTCTTATTTTGATCCTAAGCTTTGTACTGAAATTATTGTGGATGCATCCCCAGTTGGACTTGGTTGTGTTTTAGTCCAGAAAGAATCAGACACTGATAATGAATATGTCCGTGTGATTGCGTATGCATCTAGATTGTTGAGTGATGTGGAAAGTCGTTATTCCCAGATAGAGAGAGAAGCTCTTGCTGTGTGCTGGGCTATAGAACATTTCCATCTCTATCTGTATGGTGTAAAATTTACTGTTGTTACTGATCACAAACCCTTAGTGAGTGTGTTTTCTAGTGTGACTGCTAAACCTTCTGCCAGGATTGAGCGTTGGTGTTTGCGTTTACAACAGTACACCTTTAATATTGTACATCGTCCAGGGAAAACTAACCCTGCTGACTACATGTCAAGGCATCCCATTGAAATGCAAAATGTGCATTCTGATAAAGTCACAGAAGAATATGTGAATTATGTATGCGAGAATACATGTCCCAAAGCTATCAAACTGTGTGAAATAAAAAGTGCTTCTGAAAATGATAGTGTGATACAGAATGTGATAAAATGTTTGCAAAATAACTTATGGTATAAGTATAAAGATTGTGAAGAAATGTCTATTTTTGCCAAAATTGCCAGTGAACTTTGTGTGACTGAGCAAGGTATTTTATTACGAGGTAATCGAATTGTTATTCCAGTATGTTTGAGACGTAAAATCGTTGATATTGCTCATGAGGGACATATGGGTATGAGTAAAACAAAATCTTTGTTAAGAAAAAAGATATGGTTTCCTGGTATGGATGCTATGGTAGATAATGTGGTGAAAAGCTGTGCTGCTTGTGCTTCTGTTGTGAAAGATGAGAGAATGCTCCCTTTAAGCATGAGTGAGTTGCCACAAAAAGCTTGGCAAGCTGTTAGTTGTGATTTTTCTGGTCCATATCCCAGTGGAGACTATTGTCTTGTTGTTATTGATGAATACTCTCGTTTTCCTGTTGTTGAAATTGTAAAAGCTACGTCTAATTTTTATGTCATTCCTGTTCTTGATAAAATATTTTCAATGCTAGGTTTTCCTGAAGTTGTGAAAACTGATAATGGTCCTCCTTGGCAAAGTTATCAATTCAGACGTTTCATGGAACTGTGTGGCATACGTCATAGAAAGATAACTCCCTTGTGGCCTAGAGCTAATGCCCAGTCCGAAAATTTTATGAAACCTTTGGGTAAGGCTATCAAGACTGCTACGGTTGAAGGCAAGTCTTGGAAGCAGGAAATGTATAAATTTTTGAGAAATTATAGAGCATGCCCCCATGTTACAACAGGTAGACCACCTGCTGAATTATTGTATGGTACTAATATTAAAGTCCTATTACCTGAAATTATTGTTCCTACTGTTGATAATGATTTACGTGATTGTGATTGTTTTCATAAGGCTAAACAGAAAATGTATGCTGACGCAAGAAATTGTTTAAAGCCAACTGAACAAATTCATGTTGGTGACTCCGTGATCATGAGACAAAATAGAAGCAATAAGCTTTCTTCAGCATATAGACCTGAGCCTATGGATGTTATAAAGGTAAAAGGTTCTATGATTACTGCACAAAGTCCCAATATTGGCAGTAAAACTAGAAATGCTTCTCTGTTTAAAAAAGCGAATGATTGTACCTTTCGCAAGCGTTTTACAAATATCACTGGTGCTGATGTTTTACATGATAATGATATTTCTGACGATACTGCTAATTTGAATGTTGATAATGAAACAGCAGATCCTATTGCTGAAAGTCCAGCACCTTCTGTTCCCCCTGTTCCAAGTGTTAGAGATCGTCCTAGAAGATTTCCAAAAGTGCCAAGTAGATTTAAAGATTTTCATATGGGACGAATTACAGTATTGACTGCTTAACTGTATTTTGAAACTAATGTGTACTGTGTTTTGCATTGTATTTCATGAAGTTGATATCGATATTTATCTGTGTGAAGACTTGAACTAAAAGTTTGTGTGCTGAATCCTAAAATTTTGATATCAAGTCTTCATATGGTTTGTCGTTCATGATGTCAATTTTTGTGTTTTTTCATTATTAAGGTTTGGAGGGATGTAATATAGTGACCTTTGACCCGTGTCCGTTCATGTCTGAAGGTGACTTCTAAGTTCTGTACTTATCACGTGTACTGTGTGACATTAGCTGTTATGAGTTGGTACTGTGTGCATTAACTGTTTTAAGTTTATCTATCTGGAATGTGTTCTGTTTCGAATGTGAATAAAGTCTACAAATGCAATATAGTTGTGCGTGTATACACACCACCTTACAATATGTATAATGAGTTGTCTATATATATATCCGTATGGTTCTGGCAGTATATGTATATTCGATTGGTTGTATATGCCTATTTTTGGCACTATATATGTGGCACGTTACCAACCTTGTCGGTTTCAATAGCATCGCCATTACGATTGTGAATCAATAGTTATTTAGGGCCAGTCAGTTACAGTATAGCGCTAATGGGCATTTCTAGTCTTTGATTTATCCACAGATTGGTCGAACTGTGGGAAACAATATTATTATAACACTACGTTTGTAGATATATATATATTTGTTCATTGTAGTTCAGTTGAACCAATGACATTAAACAACATGATAGGCAACTCTGACGTCACTCCATAAGACTACATGCGAAAGATTGTATTTCATGATACGCTCCAATGCACATATTTCTCGTCGCCTTTCGCGGCCGTTTTCCGCTCGCTCCTGCTACTCGGCGTCTTCTTTACGTGTAGTACCAGCCTTTTTGCGCCTGTAACAAAAGAAAATAATCTCTATATCTTAGAAGTTTTGCTCACTTGGAAAGCTGGAATGGCAGACAAGCTGTAAAGAGTAATTCTGGACATCATAGACGTTTTTTTTTATCATAGGAGATTACAAACGCGATAGCGTGAAGATTTGTGTGGGACATTTTGCAGATAATGACAAAGTTCAAAGTTAGTAATTTTAATGTTTGCGTTTAAACATTGAAATTTCATTTAAAGAGGGTGTCATACAAAACAGTAAAACTGTTTATACTTCTCTTAACGGCTATACAATTCCATAACACAAAGTTTGCACCTATCGAACTTGCTTTAGTTGGTGAATTTATGAGACATATTACATATTTAGTTAATCATAGGTAACATTGCTGGTACATAATGCCTCGTAGATAGGTATGTGTCTAAACTTAGGAATTTCGCTCATAGCCCACTATTTAATATTATCTTCTATGCAGAAGGTTGCAGGGCTGATTTAACTTGCAGCCTTACCGATCACCCTGACGATGCTCATTTATTTTGGTTCGAACAAGTCTTCTTGAAAGACTTGTGTGAATGGAAACTAACTATATGTTTTGCCTTCCTCCGATTTTAGAAGACAAATTTATTCTGAGGGATTTCGCATATAATTCTCATTGAACGTTGGCTGTTTACAATTCCTATTAATTGTGAATTCTGATTATAACAGAGAGTTAAAAAAAAATTTACGTAATTTACTGGCACCCTTTTCTTGTCAATACTCCAAGCTGAGGTAATAAACAAGACAATACATTTATGTCATCTGGAAGCAAAATATGCACACTAATTAAAAGTTTGACACATTGAGATAATACACCATGACAGAAAATACAAGTTAAAGATATGTATGACCATCACATGGTAATTAAAATTAAAAAAAAATTATTAGGGGCTGTGGAGTATGAAAAGTTCAAGACAAAGAAAAGAACAAAAGTTCATAGAATTTTGCCTCCATTGCTTTGTGAAGGCCAATATATTCCGAGTTGCTGATTTGGTTTACCTTTATGATAGCAACGATTTTGTATTTAATATAGCGAGGTTTTTTTCAATTCAATTGAAGTGATATTATTTCCCAAAGCAATGCTTTAATCGTCTAGAACAGTGGTTCCCAAACTTTTTTGACCATCGCCCCCCTAAAGTAGTTCATGCAACTTCATCGCCCTCCTGCACTACAAAAAAATATACAGTCAGAAACGAATATATTACAGACCAAATAAGAAGACAAATAATAGTTTATGGTGTTTTTTAATGAAATAGATGAGCTTGGTGTTCTTCAGCGAGTTATTTATTATATCTAAAATTACCCCGTTTACTGATAGAAAGGTGATTTCGTTGTTTTAATAGCAATAGTAGCACGGCTGAAAACCCCTTTTTCACCATATAATAGATCGAAAATGAAAGAATCCAGGGTTCTACCACCTCAAAAACCGCCGTGTACTCTTGCCTTATAGCATTTCACTTTCTAAATTCACCCCATTTCACATTAAAATAATAAAAACAAAGTTAATTTTCCCAAACTTATAATAATGATTTTTGTACATCTCATTCATTCGTACAGCCTGATGACCTGCACCAAAATATTTCGGAAAAATTCATCCCTGATTCCTCATCCTATCACGGCCTCCAGTCCGATCACCATTCCACAATTAACCAGCCATTTGTTTTTGATTCATTGACTCGGATGTGGAAGAAGCCGTGACTGACTATCGGCTACGGCCCAGGGGTCGGCAAGTTTTATGTCGCTCGCAGGACAAAATTCAGGGTTGCTAGTCTTTTGCGGGTCGCATATATTTTTTGGAAGTTAAAAACGGAACAGCACGCAAAAACTGCGACAATTCGTGAACTCAACTCAGTCGTCTTATTAAAAAAATATTACAATTATATTTAATGTGACACTGTCTCGTTGCTGCATCACGCTGGATAGCTTTACGACGCCAAGATTGAAACATTTTCTAAATGGGCACCACCAAACCCACTTCTTTGCTTGTTCTTTGTAATGTTCATTTTCGAAAATAATGATTTGCACA